CAAATTGGTGTAAGTTTCATACCAAATTGGTGTGATTTTTAGTGTGAAATACTATTGCATCTCCAACCCATTGCACCAAATATTACACCAAAAAAAAAATTCCTTAGAATGTTCTCTTTCTTTTTCTTTCTATGTAATAATCAACAATTAATCTATTTTACTCTTTATTTTTGTATATATTAATTAAATATTGAGAATGATATTTTTATTAAATAATAATTACTTTGAAAATTATACTAATTTAATAAAATTAAGCATTTATTTAATCAAACAAATATTACATTTAATATAGAAAAACATTACATCTAATATAAAATGATACAAAAAAAAAAAAAGACAACAACAACATAAAAGTAAAATTTCATATTGATAGTAATTTAATTTTCTGAATTAGTATATTATTCCCACAAATGATCAATTAATGCATTTCGAAGAGCATGGTGAGTCTTTGTATTCTTGATTTGTTAATGTCGAGCAAGAAAATTTTAAAATTAGACATTTTCACCTACGACAATTTCAACTTCGAGAGTTGACGCTTCCATCTGATTCTTAATCGATGCATTAATATTAACCAAACAACTAACATACTTTTCATAAAATTTTACTCTTTTAAGCTCTACTTGTTGGCTAGGTGGGCCTGCATCCTACCATGGCGAAGGTTGGTGGGCTGAATCACCTCAAATCCTGAGCATTAAACAATATATCTAACTATTATAACCCTTCTATATCCAGGTTAATATGATAATCTCACTATGTGTAAATACTATATCGATATTTTGTAAATATAGTAATAATTATATGCCATAAATTAATAACATATGCGATGAAAGAAAATTAGGATGATAAGTGTGCAATGTTAACTTGTGTAATTAGCAATATTACTAAATGAGTTGAAGTACCTAACCGGCTAGTCCTTTTAAATTGTTGGTATTTGCATTTATGACTCCTCTAACATGTAAAAGCTACTTTGTATAACATGATTTAGCATATAAAATAAAACAAAAAACTTGTATCTTATGTCTTTAGTCTATTCAGATTTAAGATAAAAAGTACAAAAACAAACAACTAAAAGAATTATCTTGTCATGTAATTATAAAATGAATGTTTATATAGTGACATTTGATTGGATGGATGTTCACTAGTAAGATGATTTGAATTAGCTACCATATGACTTGAAATTTATATAAGAGTTTAACTCATATACTAATTGGAGTTGAAAGAGTGAAAGGAATTATGTATCATTATCAATGTGTCTCATCTTCGCTCCCTCTGTAGTTCTATAATTTGGTTGTTAAACATGTTGTGTGTTTCAACAGTGATTTTTTTTTTTAATTTATGTTCTAGTTTGTATAAACATGAATTTCTAAATTACATCAATGATTTAGATTTGGGTTTATGAGAAATTGGCGTTTGTGAATGGGTGGGTGTGATTCTGTGCTGACGTTAGATTTGAGTTTTAATCTTTCAACACATTCAACAAATAACAAGATCAGTTTAAATTGTTCTCCATCCACCTCAGAATATGTGTAATCACGCTCAAATTAGATATGGATTAAGTCAGTGATCATATTCCCAACATACTAAAGCTTAGTTTGGGATTGTTGTAGCTTTAAGTTTAATCAGTTTTTCCCAACTTTGAAAATAATCAGCTTTAGAAATATTTTTGTGTGTTTTGGTAAATGCTGCTTTTATAATTGCTGTGATTTTCAAAATCTATGATTGTTTGTTTGGTAAATTAGATTTTGAAATTGCTAGGTATAATGACCAAAAAAGATATTTTATTTTTTAAAATACTTTTGTAATTCTAAATTTGTAGTTTGATAAGTATTTAAAAATGTATTAAATTAATTAATTAATAATTTAAATATTGGATATGGCCGGCGGTGGTCAATTAACGGCTAACGTGATCGTTGATGGTGCGTTAATGCCACAACCGATCCCATCGGGATTGGAAACTCACGATCTATAGGAATCCAGTGATTTCACTAACTCCGATGTATATTTAGGTCGTAGAAGGCAACCAAATCTTTTGCCACCTTCTGCAGCCAAAATAAGCATTGGGATCCAGTGAAAACACTAGATTCTGGCATATCGAGAGTTTTCGATCTCGATAGGCCCTGTTGTTGCTTCAACATGCCAATATTGACTGACATTGACTAAAAAGTCAATAGCAATTGACCACCAACAATCCACTCCTATTTTTTTTAATTCATAAAGAAATTATGAAATTATTTATTTAATAAATTAAATGTTGATTTAAGTTTATTTTGTAATTTGAATAATTACGTATGGGTATATTTGACCTTTACAATATAAAATCACCTGTAGAAATAATCTTAATTGAATAATTTTTCAAATGTAAAGGGAGGTCAAGGCTGGTTTTTTTATACTTTGGGTGTGAGTGATCAAAACTGAAACTTGAGGGAGGTGTGGGATAATAATCCCTAACAATTTTATTGGTAGTATGCAGGACATTTGAAATTGAAGACTCATTAAATAGTTTTACAGTTTTGATGATGTTCATCATTCATTAGGGGAGAATAATACATTTTGGATGAGGGATTATTTCATTCGTTTATGAGAGATGATAAGTCTTAAATGTTAAAGCGGTTTTTTTAAACTACTGTATTAAATATCTTCTTATTTAGGAGATTTTATTCACATTTGTATAGGGATTTTGAAAATTTTAAGGGCCTCATTTGTATAATCTATGGATTCAAAATCTATGTATTTGATAAATTCTATTTTTTGGTTTCAATATAAAATCCATAGATTGTTGATTCAAATTTTCATGCACTCATATTTGGTCAAATGAATACAATCTATGAATTTGATAAATAATTTTCAACTTTATCCTCAATATCCAAAACCATCAAAAATTCAATTTTTGTTTAATTAAATACATATTAAATTATATTTGATAGAGAAATCCAATTATAATAAATTATTTTTTGTGATTCGGTAAAAAAAAAAAAAAAAGAAAAAGAATTCCAAGTTAATATAATATATTATCAACTATCTTCATTCATGATAATTTTAATAATTGAATAATTTCATATTAAAACATATAACATAATCATACTTATATAGAAAATTAGTGTCAATATAATGTATTAACATCATGCCGAAAAACATACGAAACTTGCTGGAACATTAGCAAGTTCCATCATAGCATATTAGTGTTACAAAGCACTAAGCATTACAAAATAATTAGTAACAAAAAAACATAGTCAATAAGTTCTTAGGGCATCTCCAACCCAACACCAAAACACCAAAATTGTGTGAAAAATGTGCTTCAACCCAACGCCAAATACTACACCAATTTGGTGTGTCATTGTTCATATACTATAAAATATATTTTATTTTCTTATTTTTGTTATTTGTATTTATGTTAATTTGATTATTAATTATGTTAATAATTATAATAATAAATTCATAATAATTATATAATTAAAAAAATAATGAAAAATAAAAAAATAATCGTAATGTTGATGCATCGATTGAGAATCAGATGGAAGCGTCAACTCCCGAAATTGAAATTGTTGTAGATGAAAATGTCCGATTTCAAAATTTTCGTGCTCGACATAGACAAATCAAGGATATAGAGGATCACCATGCTCTTCGAAATGCATCAATTGATCATTTGTGGGAAGAATATACTAATTCGGAAAATTAAATTACTATCAATATGAAATTTTATTTTGAGGAGTTGTTTTTTTTTTTTTTTTTTTGGGTGACATTTATATTAGATGTAATGTTTTTCTATTTAAAGTAATGTTTATTTGATTAAATAAATGCTTAATTTTATTAAATTAGTATAATTTTCACAGTAATTATTATTTATAAAATATCATTATTAATATTAATTAATATATCAAAAAATAATTAGTAAAATAGATTAATTGTTGATTATTAATAGAAAGAAAAAAAAAAGAATATTCTAAGAATATTCTTTTTGTGAATATTTGGTACAATGGTTGAAAAATGCAATAGTGAAATGCATCAAAAATCAACCAATTTGGTGTTTGTGGTTAGAGATGGTCTTAACCAAGTGTCCCCAATCTATATTTATGGGACCTATATTTTGCAAAAGGCTCGATATATGATGAGAACAAAAAGTCATCATCAATAAGAAGTAAAAAAAAAAAAAAAATCATCTGAGAAATTAAAATGATGAAAAAGTTTTTTCAAATAAAAATTGAAAATAATAATTAAGGAATGGAAACTCACAAGTAGATTATTTCTCTAGTATGCTCTGAAGATGTTGATGATGTAAATGGAAGAGCTCGAAAGAGAGAACACAAATATATTTCTTTTATTTAGGTAAAGATAATTATCTGATATTAAATTATTAACAAGGATAGTATTGAAAAGTTAAAATATTAATAAAACCCCAATTTTATTAAAATTGAAGTATAGTGGATTTTCCAAAATCCATAGATTTCAATTTTTTTTTTTTTTTTTTTTTTTTTATAAACCAAACAAGGATTATACCAAATCCATGAATTTAAGGAAATCATATATTTAAAATCCCTCTATCCAAACTAGGCTAAGGAGTTTTTCAATATTTTTGAATGTTTATTTCTCAAGTAATTTAAGAGGGATATGTAATTATATTAAAAAATTGGTAAAACGCTTGAAACTTAACATTATGGATGAAATTAATATTTTTTTTATGATAGCAAATATATTACTGTGTTATATATATATATATATATATATTTTTTTTTTTTTTTTACAAGAATGAATCTTAATACAACTCTATTTTCTTTGCAAAGCTAACTTCATACAGTAGATTGACAAGAAAAAAGAACTTTATAACAGATTATCACTCTTGGAGGGGGAGTCTCCACACATTATGCAAAATGTGAAAATTTTATAACCTCTCCTCACTTTCCAACTTCTGTGGGAGACAAACTGTGAACCAATCACATCAACAGCTAAATATGCAAAATGTGTCTCTCATTATTCATCAGATTCCTGAAATCATTCTATTCACGTATCTGAAACGACCCAGACCCACTAGAGAGAATCAACTTCTGTGGGAGACAAACTGTGAACCAATCACATCAACAGCTAAATATGCAAAAAATGTTTCTCATTATTCATCAGATTCCTGAAATCATTCTATTCACGTATCTGAAATGACCCGGACCCACTAGAGAGAATCAACTTAAGTTGCTGAAAAGAAGAAAAGATTGAACAGCAAAGCAACTATGGGGAGGATTCGATTGGTTGTATCAGATTTTATAATGTCTTTCTTGTGGATATGGTCAGGGGCTTTGATCAAGGTGTTTGTGCACAAGGGTTTGGGTTTGGGGCAAGAAACAAGTGGTGAGGTGATTAAAGGTGTTTTGGGGATTCTCCACATGTTTTTATTTGCATTCTTGACAAAACTTAGCAAAGGAGCTGCTTATAATCCTTTGACCGTTTTGGCTGCTGCTGCTTCCGGGGATTTCTCTCGCTTTCTCTTCAATGTTGGAGCTAGAATCCCTGCTCAGGTTAGCTCATTTTGTTATTGGAACAAGAAATGTTTTGTTTTGGGGTTGAATTCTGAGTTGGGTTCCAATCGTTTTAGTATAATTTTGGACTGAAATGCGAATAGCTTTACTTAATATGATCAAATGATAGATGTTTATTGAATTGGGTTTGAATTTCCATAGAACTTGCTGATCTATTTCAATTGAGTATTATTGGTTGATTAGTTAACTAGGGTGGGTCTCTAGTTCACTTAAAATATTTACTTCTCTTATATATATATATTATTGTTTTCTGGCTGATGTTAGATTCTGATCACTTGATTCAGCTTAACTGTGATTATGATTTGAACAAGTGTGATGTTATTGAATAGCAATTGGTTTTCATTTTGCGCAGTAAACTGGAGATGATTTGGCAGAATCTTTATCATTCTTTATTTTGGACTTCTGTTTGCTGAATAGGAATTTTATGTCAATGTCAAAGTTTTGATTCACACTTAATGTTATCATTTCATCACAATGTTCAGCTGTGTAGGATATAACATTCTAACAAGCAACAGGGGTGTCTTTAAGGTCAAAGTTTCGAAATTTGGATTTGCTCAAAGTATTGTTTTTATTATATATGTTGACTTTATGTCAATTTAAAAGGAAATGAATTTCCTTCTAACCCATTGCAGGCACTGTTTGTTTGAATGCTTTTTTTCAATCTGAAGAAATCCTTTAGCTTGTGGTTCTTGCAGTCCTGGAACATTAAGGAAAATAACCCTCGAATGATGGTTCTATGTTTGGCCTAATTAGGAATGATTTTTCCTGTGTAAATTGCCAGCAATTATCTGTGGCCTAAAACGGTTATATAACATTGACAAAACTTCTCTTTTGTTGTTTATTTATGTTGCTCTTCTTTAGTTTTCTCCAGGTAATTGGATGTATTACTGGAGTAAAGCTCATCATTGACACGTTCCCTGAAATCGGAGTCGGTCCTCGTTTGAATGTCGACATTCATCAAGGTGCATTGACGGAAGGATTACTAGCATTTGGAATAGTTACCATTTCACTTGGACTGGCATTAAAAATCCCAGGAAGTTCCTTGATGAAGACATGGATCTCAAGTGTCTCCAAGTGTGCTCTACATATTCTAGGCGCTGACCTGACCGGTGGATGTATGAATCCAGCTTCTGTGAGTAATCAAAACGGGTACTAAAAAATTTCGACATTCACAAAAATGATTGAATTAGTTAGTTTAAGATGTAAAATCTGCAGGTGATGGGATGGGCGTATGCTCGCGGAGATCATATAACCAAGGAGCATATACTTGTATATTGGCTCGCTCCAATGGAGGCAACTCTGCTGGCTGTGTGGACATTTAAGTTGGTAGTTCAGCCACTAATGGAGGATAATACAGACTTCAAGTCCGGAACAGAATGATGAAATTCATTTCCTTTTGTGTTGAAACTGGGATGGGTAAAATTGTTGGCTCTGGCCAAAGAAATTGTCAAGAGCCTATTATGGTAACTTATTAAAATTTAGAGTAAAATTTAGTTATAAATTATTGATATTGTAATCCAATGAATAGAGAGATAAATTGAAAGTAATTATTTTATTGCTATTTTTCAACGTTCATTACAATTGATTGTTACCTAGTATTGGGTGGAAGAGGAAAAGGAGGTGTTATGAGCTATTGAGTCCATCTAGGCATTAATAAGGGTGACAATTGAGACTCTTATCCAATTAGTAATTTCAAGTTTTAAAGGATTAGTTGCGGTGTGTATAAGATGATTCGAATACTTATGTGATAAAAAAATAAAATAAAATAAATACATAATTGATTATCCTCACTCGTTTCCTCTTTACTCACAATTCACTGGAGAGGGATCCTTTAAGAGCATTTTAAACTTGTATCATAAAAGTTTTTATTGTACAATAATTAAAGTTAAATTATTTGAAACAAGAAAACAATAATCATTTAATTTCTCGATCTCATTTTATAATATTCTTTTCGATATACATTTGTGAAGATTTTCAAATTTATTAATATATAGTTGATGCCAGAAACTATATAATAATACTTTTAAGTAATTTCAGTTCAAGACAAAATTGCAATATAGAACACAAAATGAATTGTCTTTTTTATTTCTTAAATCCATATAAAAGAAAATTCCACGCTTACGTATTGTTGCATTAATCAGAAGGAATAACGCGGCCGAGAAAAGAAAAGATAATGAAGAAAACAATTGTTGATTAAGGCGTAAAGAAAGTAAATTCAGTTCTAAAAAGAAGAGGAACTATGCGGGACCCTGCGTTAAATTAGCGTGTGGCGACCAAAGAATCCGACAACTGATCTGAAACTTCCATGAAACTACTTCTCTTATTCCGTGAACACAAACATTGTTATATCACTGAGGCCATGACCCAATTCACCGCTTGTTAAAAGAAAGAAAAGACTCAGAGAAACGTTAACATGGGTATGGCTAAGACTCGGTTGCTTGTATCCGATTTTATGATGTCTTTCCTGTGGGTATGGTCAGGGGCTTTGATCAAGATTTTTGTGCACAAAGGTTTGGGTTTGGGCCATGATCCGAGTAGTGAGATGATAAAGGGTGCTTTGTCAATTTTAAACATGTTTTTCTTTGCATTCTTGGCTAAGGTTACCAAAGGAGGGGCTTATAATCCTTTGACGGTTTTGGCTGATGCTGTTTCTGGGGACTTTCCTCGCTTTCTCTTTAATGTTGGGGCTAGAATCCCTGCTCAGGTAAAGTTAGCTGATTTGGTTATTTGATTGATTTTTTTTTTCCTTGTGTTTTGGGATTGAATTTTTGAATTTGGTTTTCCTTCTTTTTTTAGTTATTTGGTTATGTGTAGGGGGTTCTTTTGATTCAGATGGGAATAGTTTTAATTTATATGGTTAACAAATTTTCATTTTGTGGTCCAGTTAGTTTGATTGAATTGTGAACTGGGTTTGCACTTTTTGGCTGTTCAATCAGCATTTGATTTGTAATTTTCGTCTGGCTGATTGAAATGAAGTGGGTTTGCTTTTTATGGTGTTAGAAACAAGAAGAAAGTGAACTAAAGGTTTAGGTTTTTTCTAATCTTTGTTTCCATGTAATAATTATCCTCAAGAGAATAACAGGTTTGTTTTCCTAGGTCCCAATCGATTAAGTTTCTAATGTTTCATTATATTGAGATAATTTTTCCCAATGTTTCTCCCCCGAGAATTTGCAGGAACATTTGGTTAGAATTAGTATGTTTTTGGGTCCACTTTTGTTTATTTGTAGTTTGTAAAGCTAGGACTTGAATTGGAGTTTCAATAAGAAAAATTGTTTAATTGGTACTTTGATTGGTAATGTACATAGTTTACGTTTATCTTTTTAAATTTTGCTGTGCTGGTTGTTAAGCTAACTGGGGAGTGGGGTGGGCTCCAGTACAATTGAAATGTTGGTTGTTTGTTTTTCTGTTGCTTTATATTTTGGTGACTTGAATCTGATTACCAGTTTGTGCATGCATATCACTCTTGGATGGCAGTCAGCTTTAGTTTTCTGGAATTAATTCAACATGATTTGGAAAAAATTCATAAACATTCTTAATATTGGTTCTTTGTTTGTTACATGGGAATATTTATTAAAACATATAATAGGGTTTCAAGTTCTGTTATCTTGCTTGACACTTGAAATGGTAGAAGGACCTGCACTGGAGAGAGGTTATGCAAATTGATGTTTGATTGTGGTGGAGTCAATCTTGGTGGGATCAGTCTCAATGATTGAAAATTCAGATGATTTTTAGCTGAATAAGTTTCATTTTGTGACTATTTTTTTTAAGTAATACTACACCAACAATCCTTTCTCACAAACTTTCTCTTACAACCCTTATGTGGCAGCTCATAATTGATTAGCTTACAATTAATTAGTGGGACCCATATGGGACCCAGGTGGGACCCGTTGTGAATTGACCAATTGTGAGCTGTCACGTCAGGATTGTGAGATAAAATTTATGAGAGAGGGTTGTTGGTGTAGTATTATCCATTTTTTTTTTTTTTTTTAATCAATTTGGGCTATATTAATCTTTCTTCCCTTTCTCTCTCATTGATCTCCTTTGATCATTTGGGTTAACTATGTAATAAACAAGTAGTGGTTGTAGTTTGGTGTTTTGACATAATGAACTAAATAGGTTTGTATTTAAGTTGACTCATAGGATTTAATATCCATTTCTTTCTTAAAACAACCCAAGAACAAACCTTTAGCTTTGGTGCAGCATATCAGTCTTTTCCCTTGTTAGACCACCCATACACAAGGTCTATAAATCAAAGGGCAGGGGTAGGAATAGGCAATAAGGTGCAATGAGAGTGAGTTTGTTAGGAGTGTGGTGAGTTTGTTAGAGGCATGCCTCCGTTGTATCTGTAGCTCACAGCCCCGTCAATGGCCAAATTGGTTACCGTGGACTGAATTTTGGTACAACACGACATATCATAGATCAACCAAGATGACACCCTTCAAAGCCTTATATGGTCGTGACCCTCTGACCCTTCTTAAGTTAACCGATTATCCCTCCTAGGTGGATGATGTGAACCACCAGATCCGAGAGCGAAATGCCATCCTCTAGGAACTTAAACACAACCTAGAAGTGGCATAGGTTCACATGAAAGAACAGGCAGACCGCCACTGATGGGATATCCAGTTTTCTCCAGGTGATTATGTTTACCTTAGGCTCCAGCCCTACAAATTTAAATCCCTTGCCACACGGTTGAATGAAAAACTTAGCCCCCGGTTTTATGGACCTTTCCGAGTACTGGAAAAAATAGGTCAAGTGGCATACAAGCTGGAACTTCCCACTATAGCCCGTATTCATCCAGTTTTTCATGTGTCCCAGCTGAAGCATAGCCTGCATAGCTCAGTACCCGTTCAACCTTTGCCCTCTTTTCTCATGGACGACCTGGAACTTCTGGTTCAACTTGCAGAAGTCCTGGATGTGTGCACCCTTATGGATGGTTCCACAGAAGTTCTCATCCGATGGCACGATCTACCTGCTTTTGATGCCACCTGGGAATCCTATGATGTAATCAGCAGCCAATTTCCTCAATTCTACCTTGAGGACAAGGTGGCTCTTCAAGAGGAAGGGGGGGAGATGTATTTTTAGACCATCCATACACAAGGTCTATAAATCAAAGGGCAGGGGTAGGAATAGGCAGTAAGGTGCAATGAGGGTGAGTTTGTTAGGAGTGTGGTGAGTTTGTTATAAGAGAGGACACGTGGCTGACAAGTGGTTATAGAATAGAATAATTAGTATATAAAGAGGAGAGTGTTAGGTAGGTCTTTTTCATCAAGGAATATCTTCTTAGGACTGATTGGGAGGCCCCCAGCTCCTCGAACTGCTGAGAATCTGTCTATGAATGAATTTGTTTCTGTTAAGGGAAAACTCGATACTGATTAATACTATCTTCATTTTCTTCGTATTGTGCATATTCTCTGTTATTGTGTTGTGTTGCGGCTGTTGTTGATTTGTTTTACAGGATAGTTCCATCATCCCCTAACCTAGGTTGCACTTAATCATTTATGTTACTTTAAATTATTTTATGTTAAAAATTATTCTGAGGTTTAAGGCTCTTCAGTTCAATTGTTCTGATTTGGACCTATGCCCTGTTTCTTAAACTTGCAAAGGTTCCTCTTCTGTTTGCAGCAAGACATTTTTGACAAGTATTTTTGGAATCATAATATTAGATATCAATACGGTAGTCCAAGCAAATTGTCTCATTGTGGTGGATATTAGATTGCCCTCAAAATTTAGCCCAAATGGTCGGGAGTTAGAAAGGGATACAGCATGTTACATTCTTCCATTTAAGTAAACTAAAAAATTATCCAGCATTTATAGCCAATGTCCCTGATCATGTTTTGATAATTTGACAATCAATATTTTTGAGTTATGCTCACTGTTTATCATGAAATGAGAAATTTTATTTTTCTGTTCTATGGTAATTTAACATCCTAGCAAGCAGCAAGAGTATTTTCTTTTCCAGTTTTCTTTTGTTAGATATGTTTGGCAGCTTTATATAATTTAAATAAGCTTCACAACATGATATTTCTGAAATAAGTCTTATCAGATGTATTTTACTCAGGGAAAGACTAGAAACTATGAATTGTCTTCTCATTGATTGCAGCAAGGCTTCTGTTAATGAAATTTCTTGAGTTCAGCAATAAAAAGGAAATTAAAATTTGACCAATGGCTTCATGTTTAGCTTAATTCACTTGTTGAAGAATCTTTTGTTGGTAATGTGTTGGAAATGAATTGTGGCTTATAATTGTTGTCTATCATCAGTTTCTTGGTTTTTCGCTGTTAAAGATGTTGAGGGGTTCCCTTTAAAGTTGGTTTATTTGTCACTTGGCTGAGAGCCATTCTTTCTGCTACAGTTTTCTTTTTTGGTGGTTTATCTTCCCTTCACTCTTTTGGATATCTTGCATATTACTGATTTCTCTGTTTTTGTTTTGTCTTTTAAGTTTTCTACAGAAAGAAAATTCGGATCGAAATTAGATTCATGATGATTCTGTAAGAAAATTATTTTACTGAAACTGTCCGCCCTCTTATTTTCCAAGTTTTCGAATGATGTTCCAGATATAATAGTGAATATAACTGTTCCTCAGTTATAACATTCTTCCATCTTATTTTTGCTGATATGTATATTCTTTTTTTGTTCTCCAGGTATTTGGCTCTGTTACAGGGGTTAAGTTCATCATTTACACATTTCCTGAAATAGGACATGGCCCACGTTTGAATGTTGACATTCATCGGGGTGCACTGACGGAAGGGTTGTTGGCATTTGCAATCGTTACCATTTCTCTTGGGCTGGCCAGAAAACTTCCTGGGAGTCCGTTGATGAAGACCTGGATCTCAAGTGTCTCCAAGTTAACCCTTCATATTCTTGGCTCTGATCTGACCGGGGGATGTATGAACCCAGCCTCTGTAAGTAAACCACAGTCATTAATATATATATATCCAACAAAAATTTAAATGAGTGAAATTTATTGGATTGAAAATTTTCAAATCTTTTAGGTGATGGGATGGGCATATGCTCGCGGAGATCATATAACCAAGGAGCATATACTTGTATACTGGCTTGCTCCAATGGAGGCAACTCTGCTTGCCGTATGGACATTTAAGTTGGTAGTTCAACCGCTAACAGAAGAGAAAAAAGACTTGAAACCTAAATCAGAATGAAGGAAATCCACGTTCCTATTATGCTGTAATTATGTTGGTGTTGCTAATCTGTAAGCTTTGAAGAATGCAATTGTAGGTTAATCTGTATGAAATTTACTCCATTTTGCATATGAAATTCTTGGGGTCTATCAGTCTCTAATGTATTGTTCCTCTAATCTAATGTATGCTCTCTGTTTCTTGCCAATCCTATATCTCCATTCATTAAGCCTAAAGATCTATATTATATGTTAAAAATTAATCCATGACAAAATTACAATAGCTCGGCTAATTAAGTCTTAGATAAAGTAGCTGATTAGAAAGTGTTTAACTGGAGTTTGATTGTTTATTTAGTTTGAAGATGATAGCATATTTGGTTCTAGTTAAGTAGAAACAGCTAGACTTGTAAGACAGTATGTTAGAAACCATATTGGCAAACTATCAGACGGCATGAACATGATGAGAAAAGCCAAGAAACAATTGCTAGATGAATAGAAATAAGTTGTTCTGTTGTTACAAGAAAAAAACAAAGGGAAACTCTAAATAACCATTTTTCCTCAGTTCATACTAGAATTCTTCAGTTGTTGACAGCAGAACTCAAGCTCAAGTGCTCAACATGATATTAGAGGATTTTGACTCCTACAAAATTATCAATATACAAGCTGTGTCTCAAACTCAGCAAAATCGACAGATCCAGACTCAACAGGTGGCATTAGATATGCAGCCAAGAGCTCAGAAGCCAATGCTGCAATAAGTGGAATCCTCTTCAAGTTCTTCACCAATGCAATGTCATCGCTCTCCCCGACTGCAATAATCTTCTGGTTAATCTCCACCATCCGGTCCAATTTCCTCTTGAACTCTGGGTTCTCAACATCCAGCACTGCTGGGAAGATTCTCGCTGTTGTGCGGTTTGTCTGCACAGAAGGAATTTAATATAAATAACTTCAATCTTTGTTAGTACATGCAAGAATCTAAGATATGATTTCTTTCATTGATCTGTGCATAGTGATTAGAGGCCTTATGATGTTCTTCATTCAGATGCAAAATTAAGAAGTCAACATATTTATCACTGGCAATGTGCTGCCTGTAAAAACTGCAGACCACCATGTCTCCATATATGTAAAAAGTGAAATGATAATGTAGCTACAGACTCACCTCAATGAGGACATGCATGTCAAATTCTTTGGTGTTGAGCCCAATGCCTTCATAAAAAGCAGTCCGCTGGCAGTCATTGAGGTACATTGTCACGTATACCTGCAGAATACCATTTGAATTTATGAGACTCAGACAAATTTATGGGCATACTGCATATGGAGAAGAGAAAACAAAATTTACAACTGCAGATTTATCAGAAACTAATGTACAAACATTAGCATGCAATTGTAAGATCCACATCAAATTGCATACATAGAATAATCAAGTTTATAAAGCAAGAAATATTACCGAGAGGCAGAAAAATCGTGACCACAACTTTGCCTTCCAGTCATTGAGGAATTGGGGCTGTGCCTTGAGCAGTGCAGAGAAGAAATCACCATGACGGTTCTCATCCTGGCACCAGTTCTCGAAATACTTGAAAATGGGATAACATTGGTATTCAGGATTCTCCTTGAGATGTCTGTATATGGTAATGTACCTCCAATATCCAATTTTTTCAGACAAATATGTTGCATAGAAAATGAACTTTGGCTTGAAGAAAGTGTATTTCCTAGCCTTTGTAAGAAATCCCAAGTCCAATGCGAAATTGAAATCAGACAAACCCTTGTTTAGAAACCTGCAATCAATAAAACAAGAAGAAATTTTATGAGCAGCAGAATCATCACACAAGTAAATATACATACTAGAAAGATTTGCAGTTGCATGCTTACCCGGCATGCCTGGCTTCATCCCTGGACATAAGGGAGAAAATCTCAGCTACCACTGGATTGGTTTTCTGTATCATCAAACCTCAATAATTAATTAAACTAGAAACGCTGTCCTATAGAAAACATCTAATTGCCTCATAAATTAGGATATGCTCCCACCCCACCCCACCCCACCCCACCACACACCACACACCACCCACACCCCCACCCCCCACACACACCCACCACACCCCCCCCCCCCCCCCCCACCCCCCCCCACCCCCCCCCCCCCCCCCCCCCCCCCCCCCCCGGGGGAGGAAACAAAAAAAAAAAAAAAAAGGGTCATGCAAAAGAAAGGAAAGCATAATTTCGGACTATTCAGCCAAAATTTATTATTTTTTTTAAAAGAAAAATGAAAACAAACATTACATTGTACTTCGACAAGCAAATTAAAACAATCCACACACTTAAATAAACCCAGGAGCTAAGCTCAATTTCAATCAAATAAATGCTCTTACCTACAATTTAGAGATACTCATCACTATTCAAATTGAACCAAAATAAACACTATAGAAATAACAAGAGATGATATGCTTTCAATTAAACTAATAAGCATTCATAGCAAGAAAGAAAACCCATAAAATTGTCAAATTTAAGGTTAATTAACATGAGATAGAACAAAATTCGATTGATGACAATGAGATAAACCTTGAGTCTCCTTCCAAGCTCTTTGTAAAGAAGGAAGCCAGAGAATTCAGCAGTGCAAGACCTCTCCAAGAACTCAACAAAAATCTGCCTGAGGGGCCCTTGCATCTTATCAGCAGCTTCCTTGAACTCCTTGTTTCTCACAAAGTGAGTCTGGTTATAATCAGTCTTGAATTCTTGAAGCAGCGCCACAAACTCATCCTGGTTCAAGTTCTTGTTAATTTCAGTGTTGAAAAGGGTCTCCATCTCATCAAAATCCGTGGTGTAAAACCTCGGCGTCAAAAGGGTCTCTTTGATAGCAGTTTTGGCCGCTTTTTTGCCGGGCTTTTTGGCAGTTGCTGGCTGTGAAGTGGCTGACATTGTGACGGTGCTGAACTTCGGGCGCAACGAACATGTTTTTCTTGGGTTGCCAAACTTGGGAGTAGATGTTTTGGTGGTGTTGAACTTGGAAATGGGTTTAACGAGAGCCATTTCAGCTGCCATTTTCGGACCAAAATTTAGTTTCAGGAAGTGGGGAGTGAGGTTTAAGGGGAAACGAGATAAGCAGCGGGAAGTTATAATTGATTGAAAGTTGGATTGAATATCCAAGGAAATCTAAGAGCTAAGTGGGTGTTTGACACGTGGAGGATGATTATCGGCTTGCTTGATTGCTTGGTTGGTTATGGTAGTGATAATGCTAGTTTGGACAGGAGTTTGTGGCCATACTTCTCTTACATCTGATTTTTCTTTTTGGGTAAATAGATGCCATTAGTTAATCAAGTTTGTGGTCTGAAAAATCCAAAGCCCATTTTTGAAAAGAAAAAAAAAAAATGTTTATAAAATTTAAGGCAAATGTTAAGGTGTTGTGCTACTAAATCTATAAAACAGGATTTGTAGAATAGCTTCTTACATTCATATTGACAGTCATATGGCAATATTCTAATTTTTAAAATTAGGTTATTTTATCTAAAGATAAAAACCAAAGAGAGATTCATCACATTGAAATCATAAATAAATAAAAAAACATATCAAAGATTATATATTTAATATGAATGTAATGATTTGTTAGAGAGCTTACAGTCATGGCAATAGTGGTCCAATAAAAATGGTTGTTTTAAACAAGTTCTATCCATTCCAATATCCACAACCTTGATAGCACCAATAAAATATCCAATCAAAATATTCCAATTGATATGATTCAATTTTGTTATTCATTGCTTATTCTTTTTTGGCAAGTTTAAAAGTTGGACTTACAAGAATAAAATTCAAGAAGAGATTACAAAGCTCCAAGAGATGAATAAGAAACTGAAACAAATAGAAGAAGAGATTACAGAACTTCAAGAATTGAAAAAAAAAAAAAAAAACTGCAATCCATTATCCAATAAAAAGAACTTTTTAAAACCTCCACTTATTTGATATTTTGAAGTGGCTGTGAATCCAGTGGCGATTTTGAACTGGGATTCATTCTTTCCAACTTAGAACACAAGCAAAACTCCATGAATGTACAAACTAAAGATGATGACAACTTTCTCTTGCATTTTTCATAAAGAAAAGAAGAGTAGACAGTCAAGAAAATTATAGCAGCAGAAAGGGAGACAAGAAAGAAATTACATATTGTAAATAAATGAATCCTACTATTTATCACAAGATGATAATTAGGAAAAATTACAGAGATCCTATGAATCTATCCAAATAAATATAAAACCTGAATCTGAATCTGATTCTTGAAAGAGAAATTGCAAACACAAGAGAATATCAATCTACAACTCGACTCAGCTATTTTACGCTGAGTGTTCGTTCCTGTTGAAAAAGGTTTTCGGCATTATTTGGAGATAACATTTACAAATTGCAAAACACATGAATTAAATGTTGGATACATCTCCTGTACTTTCCTAGTACAAATAAATTTGTTAAGCATAAACTCAAACCTCTATATTCGAAAAGCTTATGACCCCATACCAGAAAATATAGTGCAATTACTGAGAAAAAAAGACCAGCCTTCACATCTGTTCAATATTTTTCAAGCCAAGGAAGAGATTTCCCACAGCAAAACCTGTCATTAAGACATGTTTATGATAATGGAAATAAATTAGAAATTAGAAATCATTATAATTTGAAGTAAAAAGATAAAGAATATAGAGCAAATTGAAGAACAATGAATGTATAGATGAAGATTAATGAAATTAAATGACAACTCAGTGAAACATACTCATCTACACAATGATCTAACAGGTATTGTTATTGAGAAACCAATATCAATCATAGCTTTTAAACTCTAATACATTGCTTTACAACATGATCGTACTTAATTATTGGACTTCTGATGTGAACTCAAATGCACAAACAATGGATAAGAAAACAAATGAACTTAATTTAACTAGGGTAATACTACAGAGCCAGTCCAATAACAATACTGGGTCGATACAGTCTTAGGGTCTTAGATCGAAGGGCTCTCAATTTTTTGAAAAAATAGAAGGAAAAATAAACACAAGTGGGCATGAAAGAAGTGACAGTTTATTGTTTTCCAGAAAGCTTTTTCATCGGTTAATTTACAATTTTCCATTCATTTAATTTCAAGCCAATGCTATAAATGAAACATCTATGCAAGAGTACTACCTACTAAATCTTTTTCTATAGTGTACCAATAATGCAGATTGAAGCTGTAACTTTATGATCATTCATCAATGAATATGTTGAATTCCCTAGAACCAGTTCAAGTGGTCCAAAACAATTAAAACATTATAGATTAATATCCGAGGTTTAAGAGAAGCAAGATCATCACCTACATCAGGTTTCAAATGGATTTAGAAAGTCATCAGGTTTCTCCAGTGCATTAGCCTCATCTCCAACAGTTGAGATTTGAACAGATTCGGTCACTACATCAACATTGAAGCTTGTATTGGAGTCTCTCGCTCCATCATTAACAACAGGATCTTGCACAGATTCTATCACTCCATCCTCAATGATGCTAATTTGAACTGAATCTTTTACATCCTGGTTAACTGACAAGAATTCAAAAGCTGATCTTCCTCCTTCCTCTCTCATCTTAAAACTTTCTTCTAGATCATCAAGATCCAAATTTCTCAGAATTTCAGGAAGTGAATAACCACTGTCCTCAGCATGCTTAGATCCCATTTCAATGTCAATTTTCTCCTTTGAGCCACCAATACCATCAGCAAGATTTGGTGCCAAAGATCCCATCACTGTATGGTCATCTTCCTCCACAAATGATCGGAAATTGTTCTTTGAAGGTGGGATCTTGGAGAAGAAAACATCTCTTAGGTTTCTTACAGTCCCCAGGTGATATGGGTTCTCCTTCTTATCATACCGGTACCGGAAGTTCTCATAGGTAGTCTGTATTCACAGAATTTGGATAAATAGATTATACAAAAACTAGCCCAAGTTCAATAAAAGAACACAGAAAAGGAGAAGCAAATATATATGTTCTAACGATCCGTTTGGGATTGTCAAAAACACCTGACTGGAGTTTATCAACCAAAAATCTCCAACCAATTTTTACACTAGACAAATGCATTAGCAGTCCAGCATGTGTAATATAATGAAAATTCAATAAAAAGGAAGAATACAACGCTTGCTTATGAAATAAGTCGATATGTAAATTTTCAACAATAAAAGCTAAAAGATTATAATGAATTTATTAATGGACGACAAGAAATTAGCATGAACTTTTAAAAGCAATTAGAATGGACTGGCACAACCCTAAAAGCAATAAATACACATTTGTAAGAGGAAAATTGAGAAATATTGTCATGGTACAGCTGCAATGTTCTCGAAGCCTCAGACCATCACAAAATAGTGAATCATATAAATTCAAAATCACACATTCACATTTTGTACGTGGAAAGAAAAAAAAAAAAAAAAGGGAATAGAGAGGTTCACTGGATTACTTCTTTGATTTGATATTTTTCTTTATAAGATATTTTCATGCAACAAGTAAATATTTTAATTATTAAGAAGACTGTTTAAAACTTCCTTCAATAATTTTATAGAAGAAATATTTTTTTTTTCATTTATCATTAATTTCAAAGAACCTGAAACAATAAGACCACCAGAAGTTTATCCAAGTGTAATTGATTATAAAAAGAGATTTTAAAGATTTTAACGGTAATTAATGTGTAATGTTTAATTCAAAGTTTTTAGTGTAAATCCGTGCCATAAATTCAAAATAAGAGAATTAATAAACTGTTCTAATCAATTAAACAAAGACAAATACCTAATCAACTGAACAAAATCAGTTAATAATCAAGACTAAATTTATAGCAATAATTTAAACAATTTATTACTCTATTATATTTCCTTAGAAAAGGATCTGATACATCATAATCATGCTTTACCATCCCACAGATGTATTTTCATAAATCTTTCCAATATGATAGGCAGAATAAAAGAACTTGCTTCTATTGAATCAACATCATTAACTAAAGCAAAAGGATAAATTCTTAAGAGGTTCATTCAGGGCTATGCAAACACCACAATTTCCACCCAATGAAGAAATACAAGAAAAATCAATAAAGCTTCATGAGATTAAACGATACATTGCATGTTAAAGCAAATTACAAAGAAAAAGAAATACATCATAAATGAAATGATTGACTTCTCTATACGTTGGTGGACAAATTAACTTAAGAATAATAGAGAGAAAACGAAGAAAATGTGGCGGAGGGTCGTGCAATTCATTCAATTATTTACATATTCACATCTCACAGCATCAAATACACAGATACGGTATGAAGAATATTTCTATATTTTGATTGACAATTGATATCTCAAGTACCGTTGAAATAATTAATCATTACCGCTGAACCTCAAAGTTATTGATGAATGTATCCGTGTCATTGGAAAACAAGGAAAACGATGATACTTTTCTGTCAAGTTTTTTTTTTTTTTTTTTCTTTATGAACATTTCAAAAGGTAAGAAAGTTACCTGGTTTGTGCAAATTAGATAGAAATGAAAAACCGAGAGGCCACCAACAAACCAAACAGCAATGAAGCAGTAAGCTATGAGAAAATCTAACAGTATCTCTCTCTTCATAGCATTCAAAACGTTCTCATGGTCATCAAGAATGGTAACCCAAGAAAACACAGAGACATAAATGCACAAGATGGTTGATGTTGATATGAACATGAAGAAGAACCGATAATTGCGCTGCAATCAGATCAACATGTAAGATCAATGTTAGTTTCCAACAAGTATGAAATAATGCATGAAATGCTTGTATACCAGATTAAATTAACATATCTATTTTGCTGACTCATGGCATATAAAATAATTCAAATGAATCAATTTTAAAGTTCTGGTTTCTCTTTTGACATTCATTAGTTTTATGGTTTTGTTTCTCTACCCAACAACACGAGGTTATAATTGTAGGATCTACAATAATGGATTTCAAATTTTTGTTTCTTGTACAGATTATAGTCTATATCAGTTAAAAAAAAAAATGTCCTCATCTTTCAATCATGGGTTTAATATCAGTCTTTGACTATCAATAATATCAGTGCTCTTCCTCAAAGATTATTACTTGACCCGCCAGATGGACATTCAAGACAATTGTCCCTCTTAACATATTTCATTTAAAAAATTGCTTTGTGAAGGTACAAAAGGAGCACAGTAGCTTCACAATAAGCAGGAAACAATGCCAGCGAAGGAGCAATGTGCTAAAAGAATGCAGCTCAAGGAAACAGCTAAAAGTGTCAAAATAGAAAGACAGTACATGATCAACTCAAAAAAATAACCATCTTGATGATTTTACCATTCTGAAACACAAATGTGGCCCACTTTATGATGTAAATATCAAAATTGAATCATACCATTTGGAATTGTTATAGCTAGCTAAGTTGATTTAACCATTCAAATGATGCAAATCCTCAAATGACAGCAGATTCATTAAGTTACCCTATAATTCTTTTTGCTTTTTTTAATTTGAGGAGTAAAAGAAAGAACCAAAGGCCAAAGACAGAAGACCATAAGAATATAACAGATTTTTACACTGTTTAAACCCATATGAAGACACTATGGCAACTAGATGTACCGACCCTTTTAAGAAGGAGATCTACTTTGGTAGCAATTAGATCATTGAAGGACCAGTCAGGAGCATATCAATTTAACTAATATTGAAACAATAGCTAAGTTCAGGCCACAACAGTTCTTTAAGATAATTAAGGAATAAGAGGACGGTAGTGACAAAAAAAGGGAAACGATCCAGCCTGCTTCCAAGACAAAGAAAATAGTGATCAAAGCAAAGTACATTTTTACTTCCATTGCTCTACTATTAAATTGATGTTCTTACAATTATGGTTGATATCTGGGTCCATTAAAGCACAAACAATATAAAAGATAATATTTAATGTTTACCAGTTAGAATTTCTGAAATACAGAGATCTCAGTCCTATTGGTTAGCAGGCTTATTACAGTGGTAGTACGGCTTAATAATGTTAAAAATATTTTACGCAGTCAAAAAGTTGCATGCAAGAAAGTTAAACTTACAACTCCGATGCACTGACCAACCCATGGACAGTGGTGATCGAATCTCTGAACACAGTTGTTGCAGATAGAGCAATGAGAAGCACGGGGAGGACGATAAAGCAAACAAGTGTCACAATACTTCACTTTGACAGTGTGGCCATTTACAATCACATCTTTCGTTCTAGGCAATTTGAGATGAGGAGTTCTACCGTTGATCCATTCCATAGATGGGGTTGGGGCATCAAATGATTCATCTGCTTCAGGTGGCTTTGTATTTCTAGGAACTATCCCAGGATCTCTACCAGAGGTCATGGAAAGAAATAACAAATCCTGCAAATATTTAAATTGTCTCAAAAATTGAGCAAACCATTAACTAAATGGCCACTTGTGAAAGGCACAGAAATAAAATAGTTCGATAATGGTTCCTAAAACTGTTTTCATTCATGATACAATAGACTATGAGTGGCCTGAAAAGAAAAAATCAACTCATTTCATAGGCCATTTGGAGCATAAAAGAAGCATTTGATCTGCACACTCAGTACAAACAGTCTCAATGTCCTAGTTTGTTCACTCCCTTTTTCTGCATTCAGGTACACCAGATAACTGAAGGAAAATACATGAAGAAATGGATTCTGAAAATCTCAGGACTTCTCTCACACAAATGCCTATCACACTTTCAGAAATTCGGAAAGCTTTTTTCTTGTCTACAATGGAATATAATGGAGAGGGAAACTGAAATTTTTGAGACATTTTTGGTTAAAAAAAAAATTACCAGAACAGTAAGGATGGCTCCCACAATTAGTGCCGGATAACGATAACCACCATGACCGTCTTCTATCTTCTGATAGATTCTTATACAAAAACCAATTGCAGGGCCAGCAACAAGGATAGTTGACAGAAATAATGATGCAACATCAGGACCAAAGATCAACCTCCCACCGCAAAAAAATCTCTGTCAAAACCAAGATTAGAAACAATAAAGCTCTATTATTGCATGCGTGTCTTATACCTGTCGACAAATTCTAATAATATTCTATTCAAAAGGAAAAAAAAAAAAAAAAATCATTTAAAACTAGGTTATCTAATCTAAGAAAAGACAATTTTTTAAATAATTCTCAATCAAACAATTTCATAGATTGCCATAGTAGGAGTGTCAAAACTGATTTACTGTGCCTATTAAAAAGAATTATGAATCTGCAATGAAGTGACTCTTCAGTATATGATGGACCTGGGGTATCCAAATGGTATTTGTGTAAGACAGGAAATGGAAGGAAAGGGCAAAAGGGGTAAAGCATATGTGGACAGGTGTCTTGTTAGTTATTAGAATCCTGGTGTCAGAATAAAGGGGAGGAATAGCAGAGGCAGGGGATATCTTTTGTTTTTGTGCATGAAGAGAGTCTGGGAGGTGCTGGCCCTCGAAGAACAGCTGGCGATACTATTTTATTCCAAAACTGAATGTCATCTTCTCCATTTCTCTTATTAATCAAGTCTGAATATATTACTCTCTTTGATATTGTTGTTTGCTAGGTTGCTTGTTACCTTTGTTTGTATTTTGAGAAGGATATTATCGTGTTGAGTTACGGCTATTTAGTGTGATTGGCGTAGTGTTTCAGTTGAAATAGTAGGATTCCATCAGTATATCATGTCAAACATAGACTTCGGATGCAAGATGGTGCATGAAGTCCAAAATTCAAGTAGCCACCTTAATCATGTCAAACATTATTTCAAGAAAGACTAAGGACTCCCCACATTAATCATACCAAACATTATTTAAGGAAAGACTAAGGACTACCAGTATTAATTATATAAAGCATTATTTACAGATTATGGCTGATAAAAGTATACAGACAAGTTCTGTGCCAAACTCTATCAGAAGATTTAATTTTATGCAGGTGGTTACCAAATCTAGAACTATGTGTCCTTGTCTCTAAAGGGGGGAAGAAGAAAGAATATATTGGACAACAAATTTTCTTTTCATTTTTGGGATGTGGCAGCTACTTTGTTGTAATTCCAGGGTCTTCTACATGAATTCTAATATCTGCTCTAAGGCAAAATATTACTCAAAATAAATTCAATACTTTCTTTGCCTTCTTCTATCACCACAGCCCCAATAAATATTGTGTTGCACAAAAAAGATGAAGCAAATGATAATATAGCTCTTAGATGCACAGGCAATTTCATCAATTCTCTAAACCAAAGCAACTTCTATTACCTAAATTAATTTATTATTAAAAAAAAAATCTACGAAAATCAATGAACAGATAACTTATGAAACACTTTGATCAAATGGTAATCTAACAAAAAATCCTAGTAATTTCCAAATAAACCAAGAAGGCAAGAATCAGATGTACTCGCAAACAGGAAAATAGAAAAAGGCCAGTTTAATTAACAGAGTTGTACTGCTTATGCAAAGTGGAATTCAACACAGAAATGAGGAGTCCATAGTAATAGCAATCAGTAAGATCAAAATCAGCTTCAGTTGAACATTTCTGCAAGTCAAATGATCAAACTCAATAATCCAAAAAAAAAAACAAGATTAGGCATTAAATACCCATGATCAAAACCATAATCAAGCTTCATTTTTGACAAATACCCAATTCAGTAGATGATCAAAGAACTCCAAAACATGTTCCCAACACACAAGAGAGACAGAAAAAAAAGAAAGAAAAAGAAACTCACATTGCTTCCCTTCCAAACTTGATAGAGCCTCTTGGGTTTATCACTATTAGTATTATGACGATGACGATGATGATGATTGTGAAGAGTCTGGGCCATTGAACCCAGATGAGAAGTGAAGAGACCAAGCACAGAAGCAGAAACCACCAACCACCTCCTCTCTCTTTCTACAAAAATAGTAAACAATCCATATAGATGTCACACTCTGAATAATACACAATTGGAACACTTATGCAATTCCTTAAGAAATTTCAGCTTCTTTTTGTGGAATGAGAGAGACGGATCCTATCAAAACGACAACAACCACAACCACAACCACAACCACAACAATCTCTCTCTCTCACAAAGGATGTCAGTTAGTTCGGGCGGATGTTTCAATTTCTCCCGGGTCTGTAATCAACTCTTTTATTATTTTTATTGTTTTATTACATGAGCTGTGGCCATGTTGCACTCCCAATCCCAACTCAGTCCTAACTAACATGATGGGAAATTATCTCCATACCCATGCCAAAATTATAATTAAAAATACCCCCTTGTAAATATCATCAGGCCCCCTTATTGAGTGGTGGTTAGGGTGGTTTTAAAAGTCATGGATGTTAAGAGTAATTATATGGGGGTGAAGATGTAATTCATGGAACGTGCTGTCACAGTTTTTTATTGAAGTGAAGAAAGAAAGAAAGAAACAGTCATCCCCACGCGCTTCGTTTAAATAATAATATAATATCTTCAATGGGAACTGTTAACAGTTTTTATTTTTGGGTAAGTCAGTTGAACAAAGCGTTAGGTGATAATATAAATAGATTCTATATTAAATAAAATCATACAATATATAAGATGTAAATTATAGAATTTATCATCACTATAACAGAGAATTAAAGTATTAAAAAAGAAACATGGAAGGGAATCTTGAATGCAGAACAAATATTCGGACATCCTGGTTGTAATGGTTGTCTTGTCGTTTAGAATTAAAAAAATGTCCAATTATGACCAGCTTCCACGACGTTGGACACAATGTCCATTTCCAACTATTATCAAACAAATATTCTTCTCCAAATCTCTTCACACTTGCCACATTCTATTATTTTTTCTTCAATTTAATTAAATATTATTAGAGTAGAAGATGGTTTCAACCCGTAAAGACAAATGGAAGCTAATTAACATTGCTATTGTTGTTGAGAGGATCCATTATCATTGTCACTTGTCAGCCCAACACCAAAATAAAAAATGGGCTCACTATGCATTGTATAAATGCTCAACTAATTGCCAAATTTATTATCTAATACTACTTCTACTTTAGGATAATCGGGGTGTCCAGATCAGTTTACATGCGTCTTAATTAATTCTTAGGATTTATTGAATACCTGAGTATTTGGATAATTTTGCACGCATCTCAATTAATCTCTAAAATTTATTTAACACCTTATAAACCCAAAAGACTAGATAATTCATAATGTTATTTTAATATGTGACTTTAAAGTTTGAACCCAGAAACTTAAGAAAATGAGCAAATCTCTTTAACCGTCAAACCAACCTTTTGGAGTTAAAAAATACTACTACTTTGTGTTATGCACTCCTTAATATATTGATCCATGAAGTTGGGTCTTGTAGGCTCCAAAACTTTATACAGGAATTTAGAAAATATAAAGAAGAATATTAAAGTATGTTGTATTCACTTACTGGTATCATGTGAAAATGTGTAATTTAATAATAAACAATATGTAACATTTTAGGTTCTTTTGGAATGGCTTTTTCTAGTAGAAATTATCGCAACCGAATAGAGTACTTTTATTTCAAACTTGTTAAAGGTTTGGTTATAAAAATGTAATAGTAATTTATAGTCTTAACTAAATTACCAAGAAAAGCTTTAAAATATAAGATGAAAAAAGTAAAAAAATCTAAAATAATATGGAGATATTTCTGAAATTTCAACACATTAAATAAACTTATAAAGAGTTAATAGAAAAACGTTCAAATAAAATAGATTAATTATAATCCTATAAATACTTTTGAGATACAACCAAATAACCTAAAACAGTTCATCAAGTATTTATAATTTTAAATAAGCTTTTTCCGTCAAATAGGCTTGAATTGTTTGAATGCAAAAATTACGCTAAAGGACGGTAGGTTACACATAGTTTGAAATGGAAAAAATTTATTTAAGTATATGGTGATATTGTAAAATTATATAAATGCAATGAGCATAATATTGATATATATCAATAACTCATCAAACCTTATTGTGTTATGGTTTGAACCAAATTTAGCAACTCAATGTTATTTGCGTATGCAGTGGCTTATAAACATTAAGATACCTGACGTTCTTATATATTGTTCATCCCACGTCGGTATATACAAATTTACATAATCAAAGAAAAATAAATAAATAATAATAATCTAGTTTTTTTTCAGAAAGAACTACCCACTTTGCACTCAGCATTTAACATTAATCAACACTCCACCAATTCACATATGCACGCAGTTTACAATTCAAAGTTCCTGAAAGAAAAACCAAAAAACATAACATAAATAAAAGAATGAGGCAACCATTCTGTTAAATGTCTTATGCTATCCGATTTTCCCAAATTACAACATGCTGTAGATGATAATATCCTTACATTTTCTAAAATGCGATACAAAGTTCAACTCTGCAGGAATGGCTTTGGCAATCTGCTTCTCTTTGTTTACATCACTGAATATTTGTTTTTACTTCTCTACATCCACAATAAATTCACATTATTTATAAGCTTCTCAATTGCCAAACTACATTCTTGCATTCATCAAAATAACTCAAACCTGAAACAACATCATATTTACACATGACAATACAAGTTCCAAACGACGTTCTAGAAAATTAGATCTAACTTGTCGATCAACACATAAACTTTTTCGCAAAGGAATTATAAACTAACTTATATCAAATTCTTATATTATCTTGCTGAGAAAAGTTGGTAAATTTATCACTACATAATTCTTGCTCAACTTATTAATTATGGAATTTTTCAAGCAAAAGTGTACAGGAGAAAGACTACCTTCAACTCTGACGAATCAGTGATGTACTTGAAAGGGATCTAATTGGTCCTCTTATCAGTGGAGCAACGTTGTGAATATTTTGGTGCTCCATGATTAGGTGAGAAAAATGGATCAAAAGTTGCAGTACCATCTGCCTCCTTCTTCTTCAAATCACCATCAATACCATTGTAATCCAAATTCTGCAAAATATTTGGAACTTGGCTATCAAAATTCTTCCCAATACTCCCCATTTCTAGGTCAAATTTATCTTTTGGATTAATGAAGTCTCCACTAAATTCCGAATGAAAAGATCCCATTACTGGAACATCATCTTCTGTTGTCCATTCTCGGAAATCGATCATTGAAGGTGGGATCTTTGTGAAGAAAATTTCCTTAAGATTCTTTGCCATCCCTTTATTGAAGGGGTTTTCCTTCTTATCATACCGGTACCGAAAATTTTCATAAGTTGTCTGTGAAAAAATCAAATACCAGAAAAGAAGAACTAAGTCCAAGAGTAGAAGACTGCGGATTTAGTTAATGTGCATCAAAAATCTTGTGGGCATGTAACTTGAAACTAAACTAAACTAAACTTTGATTTAGCAGGATTCATTATGAAGAGGAAACACCATTTACAAAATAAAAATACAATTAACTATCATAAGAACAAAATTAGAGATAGATTGAAGAAGAAAGAATTCTTCTCTCCCTCCCTCTTACCTCCTTTAATCATTATTCATCCTCTTATACATCCAAATAATATATAACATAAACTAGATACCAAGACAGGTAAACAAAATATAGTTATGAACTTCATCTGCATAATTCATCAAAAGTAAAGTATAAACTCAAGAACCTTGGAATTCTGTGTATGTTTTTAAACAACAGGAGAAGTAATTTCAAGAGCCAACTCACCTGGTTGAAGCACATGAGATAAAAGTGAAAAACTGTAAGCCCACCGACGAACCAGACTGCTATAAAGCAATATACTATGAGAACAACTGATAGTATATCTTCAGACATGATCATCAACAAACTGCCCTCCTGACGTAGGACATTCATGCAAGAAAAGAAAAAGACATATATGCACAAGAATGTCGAGGACGATATAAAACAAATGAAGAATGGATAATTGCGCTGCAGTCATTTCAACAAGAAAAGAAAGATAGTTAGTATCTTCCAACAATCAAATCTAATAGTAGACTGATTTTAAATTCGTTTAATTTCATGAGAAATATAGACAATCAGTGAATGTAAATCAAAGCAAGAAGAGGTTGGGGGAAACACATACTAGTCCAATGCATTGTCCCACCCAAGGACAGTGGTGATCAAACTTCTGAACACAGTTGTTGCAGATTGAGCAATGAGAAACTCGAGGTGGACGATACAACAAACAAGTGTCGCAGAACTTAACTTTAATCGATATGCCATTAATCATTACATCCCTAGTCCGAGGCAATTTCAAATTAAGATCTTTGTTGTTAACCCACTCCGTTGATTGAGTAATTTTGTCTAACGATTCATCCAGTTCAGGTGGCTGTACATTCCTTGGGATTATCCCCGGATCCCTACCTGAGGTTAAGAAGAGAAAAGAAAAATCCTGCAAGCATTCAATAACGTCAGAAAACTTCCTTAAACCAATAAAAGATTAAACTTGATTTTCATAACACAAAACCCACCAAAATCGTAAGAAGAAAGGCTCCAACCAATACAGGATAGTGATAAACAGGATTTTCCCGGTTGATTAACAACAACATTTTCAAGCAAAACGCCATTGCAGGACCTCCAATCATAATTGATGTTAAAACTAAGGATGATGCATCTGGACCAAAAATAAATCTCCCACCACATAAAAATTTCTGAGATCACAGAAAACAAAAACAAACACAAACCCGTATAAATAAATCGTCTAAAAACAAAAATCTCATAACCAAACAGCATCAAATATATAGAAAATGGGAAAATTCAAAATGATTACATTGTTACCCTTCCAAAGCTTATAGAGCCTCTTGGTTTTGGGTTTGGGAAGAGACGTATCATCATTTTCACCGGAAAAAGAATCATGAACCTGGGCATTTTTCTTACTCATTTTGTCTGCAAAATCTTTACATGAAAATAACAAATGCAGAAAAGAGTAGCATCCACCTAATTCCTACAACACAAAATCAAAAACAAAAACATGAAATTTTCAATTAAAGCGAATGAAAAGATATCAAACGCTTTAATTTTCCAACTGTTTTGTTTTGTTTTGATTTCTTTTACATTTCTCTCCGACTATATTTAATCAAAACATAAAACATAAAAATTAAAAATTAGCTCTGTTCAGTATTCCTTACCAGCTCGATTCTCTAACCAATTTTTACATTGTAGCGAGATTTTCGCGGGAAAAACCAATAAAATATTAATATAATATACCTATCTGCCGTTGACACCAGTCTTCGACATTATATTCGTGACAGTTATTTCATAACAATTTCCCAATTATTAAACTAAGAACTCATTTTGTTGGTTTGGTTGAAATGAAATGAACGGAAAATTGTCAAGTAATTAACAGATAATTATGGAAAAGAAGCAATACTTTCTCCAGATCCATAAACAATCACTTCACTTCTTCCAATTACTTGATCATATAGCATCAAATGAAATATCAATCATACTTTTTCTTTAAGAGTAAACGACATGTTCCCACCCAAGGTTTAGCGAACTAGCAAGCTTCCACCTATAGTTTCATAAATTCCAGATTTCCACCCTTAAATTAACACCGTTTTGTTCATTTAACAGTCAAAGGATAAAAACGTCATTTAGTAAATTCCAGATTCCGATTCCATGCACTCTTTTTTCCTTCACCGTGGCTCTCTCTCCCTCTCTCTACACTTTCATATAAAGATTTGTTTGTGTAAGCACTGCGTGATTCATATAAAATTTAATGTTTTCTTTTGAAAAGGATGGGGTGTTTGCCATAAATGGAACAAAGAGGGAGAGAGAGCCGCGGCGCTCGCCCGCTGGGTGGTTTGCGTGGTTGGGCAATAGGGAGTTGGTTGGGGAAAAAGTCGAGCAGGTGGTGGGTGGGGTGCAGGTGGAGGGCGTCGGCGGCAGTCGGGCCTTCTTAATCCAAAAACCAAATCAACACAACAAACACTCCAACAATCAATTAAAATCACAACCCAAACTGAAAAATCAATCAAACTCCGGCATCCATAAAAAACCCAAAAAAATCAATATATGAATCCTGTCAATGATGTTGACCTGTTCTTATGATGTTTTCTTAACAGAGCATTCCAGCGGTGCCAAAAATTAGAGATAATTACAATCCGGCAACATGGATGTTAGAAGTCACTTCGGTATCTGTTGAAGCAACACTTGGTGTAGATTTTGCTCAAATATACAGGGGTTCTGCTTTATATGTGTGAGTTCTATTACTATAGTTATTGACTGTTGGTATATTGTACATTCTCTCTTTGGCTAGAGTTGTTCAATCAAAACCTTCGCTTATTAACAGTAACTGGTGCCTGGAAAAAGGCATGTTTTTTTCATAAAAAAGATTTTCCAAATGACATTTTTCTTGTACACCTTTTATAGGAATAATAAGAAGCTTGTAAAACGGTTGAGTGCTCCACCTCCTGGTTCAAGAGATCTGCATTTTCCTACATCCTTCGCGGAGAATGGATGGGGACAGTTCAAATCTTGCTTATGGAAGCAAAAACTTGTCCTATTGGAGAAGTCCTTCATATAATTTCAGTGCAGGTGGCGGTCGTCGGCGGCAGTTGGGCCCTCTCAATCTAAAAATCAAATCAACACAACAAACACTCCAATAATCAATTAAAATCACAACCCAAACTGCAAAATAAATCAAACTCCGACATCCATCAAAAACCCAAAAAATCCAGTCACTTGCGAAATCGGCAACAGTGGGGATGTTGGCAGCGGGGAGTGTGGTCGGCGGTAGCTACCAGACGTTGAGGAGATGAAGAAGGTCTAGTCTCAGTCATTTTTATGTTTTCTTTCAGGAGAGAGAATTTTCTTGGGGACTGGAAGACAAAGAAAAAATGGAAGACGGAACTGGCGGGGAGAGTAGAGAAAAGAGCAACATGTTCCGGTTGGTTGGGGATGAAGTTCGAAATCGTAATATAAGTGGGAGGGTAGTTTAGTAATAACTCCTTTTGAATCTGTATCAGAATCTAACCTCCGTTAACAATGTTAATATAAGGGTGGGAATTGGAATTTATGAAACGAGGGGTGGAAATTCATTTCGCTTAACCTTGGGTGGGAACATGTTATTTACTCTTTCTTTAAAACAATATATTTAATTAAGTAAATTATTTCAAGTCATATAAATTTTAATTTAATTAATTCAGTTAACCAATATTATTTTTATAATTTTATGTAACTATATAAAATTAAAAAAATATCATGTAAATCGTTTTATAAAATTTGATTATTATTTTATGTTTTTGTATAAATATTTTTATTTTATCTATAGTTAAACTTAATATATAAATCTTTCTTTAGAGAAAATACAACTAAGCGAGGATTCATTCATTGATTTTGCCTTAACAAAAATAACTATGTCCAAATTGAAGAACAATTCCATAACGTTTTCACGTAAACAGAACATTATAATTGCATCTATTATTGATGTAAACTCCAGAGTTGAACATTGCAAATTTCCAGCATGAACTAACTCTAATTAATCTAAAAACAATCAATCTAATTCTAAACTAAACACATATGAAATGAAGCCGATTTCCGGGTTTGTTGAATCTTTCATGAGCGCAACAAATCATATGAAGTGAATGAATGTGGAGAGACTACAACTTCCATATTCTTGTCAACATAGTTTAAAATAATTAATACTAAGTTTTAAAAGAAATAATCCAAGAATTTTAATAACAAATGAGTGATACCTTGTTTGGCTGGTTGAAGGAATTTTCATCCATCAATTTATCAGATGTGAGCAGAGTCTCTGTTGATCCAGATGAGTTTATGGATCCATCCACTGATATCTCAAGTTTTAATTCATCATCACTCCCGAAATTCACAACCTGCAGGTAAAATTTTCCACAACAATCAAACATGTCCAAACACATAATCTTCATTTCCAACAGCAACATATCTCAAGTCAAAAGGTTCAGGAAGTCCCATAGCGCTCGTTTAGAGCCCCATGTAGAGCTTTTGCAAACTCAAGACCATCAAGTGCTTCCTGCAGCAATGGAAACATATGGCATCAGTTATATATATGTTATTGCTTGTTGATGCGTGATTCTTACACCAACTAATCGACACGTGTGTAACGTTGATTGGTTAGGAGACACACGTGATTATGGATAGAAAATGTGAAATGAATGCAATAAAAGCTTTTTAAAGTGGTTCAGATGCTAAGGTAGCAAGTCCTACGTCCACTGATTTGTATTAGTAATGTGGGTCAAGTCGCAACAGCGGACTGACTTACAAATGATTAGGAAAAGTTTGCAAGAGAGAGAGAGAGTTCAAGTGTAAAAATGGCCGAATCCCCTTAATGAAGGGGTCTTCTCCCTTTTATAACCAGATGAGGGCGTGTGATCATCATTAAATCCATGGATTGGTGTGAGTGTCAGGATATAATCTGGCTTTACGTCCCATTGCCCCCTTCCCAAGCTGATTTCACATGATTTATTGCCGGGAAATGGACGCGTGGGAGCTCCATAGCGCTTGGCAGGCCTGACGTGTACCTATCTTTCCACGTCAGCCCTTGTTTTCCCAGGCATAACAGAAGTCCCCTAGTTTTCAAGGTTTGAGGATCGAACCTTGGAAACTAAGTCATGTCACGATTGGAGGTTCTGGTTATTTCGACCTGAACGGAAGAAGCTCGGGACACGGCCTTTTGCGAACACAACCTCGCATTCTGCCCAAACGACCTGACAGTCATCATCCTAGCGACCTAGATTCGTCGGACGTTTCTTATCGTGCCTTAGGGTTGGAGATTCAATGAACCTGTTTCCGCACTGTCAGGCGCTCTGCACGTGTCAAAGCGTCTGGCAGGCGCATTAAATGCGCTGTGTGTTGACCCAGCGTTGTTTTGACAGCATTAATTACACGACACATTTGAAACGATGACCATCATCACAGCATTGAATGCGACGTAGGGCGCATTTAATGCGGAGAGAGAGAGAGGGCTGTCCTTTCGATTCCGAGAGGTGGTAACCGTCGGTTCGCAGTCCATATAAAAGCCCAAACTTTTCAGATGAAGCCACCAAAATCCCTTCTGCCTCGAGCGACAAATTTTTGCAAACCGAAAGTTCTTCTTTTCCGATTGGCGCCTCTCAGATATCTGAAACAAGATCTGTTCTTGGTCATGCCCCCTAAAAGGTAAGGTCTTCTTCTTTCTTCCCCCCTCTTTTTTTTTTTTTTTTTGTTTGGTTGGTGGGCAATGGCGTTGGGTCTCCCGGTGTTTCACCAGAGACGCGACGCCGTCGTCGGATTCGAGCAGTGGATGGCAGCTCGGGTTACTGTTAGGGTTTAAGGGATTTGTCCCATGCCGCCGTGCGGGACATGCGATAGCTAAAATGACCTGTCTGTTGGTGTTGCAGACTCTGGAATGGAACCGTCAACGTCCAGACCCAAGGAAGCGGCCAGTTCGTCCTTGCGGGACGTTCCCGAGGACGCATCCCTTGATGTCTTCTCGGTTCTCACCCAAGAAGAGTTCAATAGGATAAAAAAACAGTTCGACGTCTGCGCAGAGGTGTTCCTCGACCACACTCGGTCGTCACGGCATCCTTCCGAAGGCCTCGCTGCGATCTCTGAAGAGATCTTCAAGGGTGGAGGGATGATTCCTTTCCATCCTTTCATCAGGTCGGTCCTGGATCACTTTGGGATCGCACCGATGCAGTTGACGACAAACGCGTATGTCATCGCCGTCGCGATGTACATCGCGTGCCGTGAAATGGCTTGGGCGAGCCAACGGCGGTGGAGCTCGGTATCGCCTACTATCTCAAAAAGACTAAGGACAAGGATTCCTATTACTTGTCCCGGCGACCTACCATCACCGAAGGGATACATAGCTATCCCAGCAACGCGGGGGCCTATAAGACAAAATTCTTTTTTTTCTGCTATGACGGCCACTGCCGTTTTCAGAAACCAAGTAGGTTCTTCTTCGCTAGGTTCATTGTCTGTTTGTTTGCTTTCTCATAACGACCTGCCTTCTTTTGCAGTTAACAAGATGACCAGCCAAGACCTGCTTGACGACCCAGACAGGCTCGTGTCTTTTGGAGTCCTTCCCAAGGAAAGCCGGGACGCGAGGAAGCTCGTGACAACCGCGAACTTGCGGAAGTACGGTTTCATCAGTAACAATGTGTCTTTGGAGCCCCTAGAAGGTAAGTTACACTGATTCCCTTCTGGTCGCAGAATAACTTTTGCTTACTAATGTACTTGCATGCAGCGACTATGCCTCCGAAAGAATCCAAGCAGCCTCACCGAGCACCGTTTGTCTTCCCTCGATCGAGGAGAGAGAGAGCGACCGAAGCTGCTCATCCCATTACAGCATAACCGGTGCGAACAGCCGTGCCTTCCCAGCCCCGTCCTGTGCAAGAAGCGACCAGGACATAACATGTCGCTCAGACACCACCTGCTCGCCCAAGGCGGAAGGCTCCAGCCCAGAGGTTGAAGAAGAGGAAGCAGATTCAGGTCGACGAGTCAGAGACCGAATCTGAGGAAAAACCCTTGAGGTCGCGACATGACTCAAGAAGGAGGTCGGGCAAGGAACCCGCAGACGAGACGATCACTGCCGACAAGGCGAAGGCACGCTAGTGTTGGACTCGTTGGGGAGCCTGCCCGAATACCTGCAGCCGATAGTCTATTCTTTGCTCGAGTGTGGGCTATCGGAGTTATATGATGAGTTCGTCGATACGGGCGACGACTTGATGACCACGTCGTTTCAACATCTAAGCAAGGTAAACGAACTGCTCTTAAAGCTTCTCCACCGTTTTTATTCTAATTCACTTCTTGCTCGCAGGCTTTGCTTGCGATGAGGATGTCTATGGAGAAGACTCAGCTAGGGGCCGCAAAGGGGGCAAGCGACCTAAAGGAGGAGGTCGCGAAGCTCAAACAGAACCTGGAGTCCGTCGAAGCGGAAAGAACGCAAGCATTCGAAGCGGCGAACAGGTACCTGAACCAAAAGGATGCCGCTCTACGAACAGTAGACTTCCAAAAGGCGGAGCTTGAGCGACGTGCGGAGGAAGTAAAGGAGCTTCAGAGGACAACTGCTAGGCTCTCCAAGGAGGTCGGAGAGAAGGACCAGGAGCTCCAGACGACCTCCATATGGGCTCAGCGAGCTGAACAAGAAAGGGAGGCTTCCGAAAAGGAAAGGCTTGCTCTGGAGGCCGAACTTCAGGAGAGTCGGGAAAGAATCGCTTCACTGACTGAAGAAATGCGTATCCAGTCAGAGGAGATCGAGGATAAGGACGCCGACTGGGCAATCGGGTCCATCTATGCCCTGCGACCGAAGAACCCAGATCTGGATATTTTCGACCTCCCAGAGGGGTGGCAAGAGACCTTGCGGATTCTGGCGGAGGGAGATGATCAGGCAGCAACGGCCACCCAAAGATTTGACCAGGCAGAGGGTTCTGGTCCTGCTTCGAAGGATCCCCCCGACTAGCCATAGTGCAATGAGTCTGACTCCATTAGAATAGGATCTTAATTTTTGTTGTGAATAAATAAAAATACATTTTGCTTTCAATTGTTGTTCGCTTTATCATATATAAGTGCATTTTACAATTCAGGTTACATAGGCGATATTACATGTGAATCGTTACAAGCGAACAGAATAAATGCGAACTGCTTAAGCGAACAGAATAAACTTTACAACAAAAAAGGGGGAACTAACAAAATCAAAAAACTGATCTATAATGAGAGCTGAGTTCGGGATTACTGATAGTATGGCTGGAGGTGCTCGGCATTCCAAGCTCAGGGTACTTTGGAACCGTTCAATCTTTTGAGATGGTAAGTCCTCGGTCTGATCACCTTGTCGACCCGGTACGGTCCTTCCCAGTTAGGTCCTAGTACCCCCGCACTTGGCTCCCTGCTTCCGAGGAGAACTTCTTTTAGCACAAGGTCTCCGACCTGGAAATCTCTTCGCTTGACCTTTGAATCGAAGAACCTTTTCGCACGTTGCTGGTAGGCTGCTATCCTTAGCGAAGCCTTGTTGCGGTGTTCTTCAACGAGATCAAGACTTGCCCTCATAAGTGCTTCGTTTTCAACCTCATCGTACAAGTCTCTCCGAAGAGAACCAGTTCCCACCTCCATGGGAATCATTGCTTCACAGCCATAGGCTAGCGAAAAGGGGGTTTCTGAGGTAGAGGTTCTTGGAGTTGTCCTGTACGCCCATAAGACTTCGGGGAGATCGTCAGCCCAATTTCCTTTGGCTGCCCCAAGCTTGGCCTTCAGAGTGTGCTTGATGGTCTTGTTGACAGCTTCAACTTGGCCATTCGCTTGCGGTCTGGCGACTGAGGCGAATTTTTTATGGATGCCCAGCTCGTCGCAGAACTGCTTGAACTCCTCATTATCAAATTGCTTTCCATTATCCGAGATGAGGGTGTGGGGAATTCCGTAGTGGCACACTATATTCTTGAAAACGAAGTCTTTCAGCTTTCTGGTCGTGATCGCGGCTAGCGGTTCAGCTTCTACCCATTTTGTGAAATAATCTACCGCGACCACAGCATATTTGACCCCTCCCTTTCCAACTAGCATGGGACCGATAAGGTCGATCCCCCACATGGAAAATGGCTAGGGGCTAGACATCGTTATCAGCTCGTGCGAGCAGGCTCGCGGAATGTTCGCGAACCGCTGACACTTATCACATTTCTTGACAAAATTGTGCGTATCTTCTTGGATTCGGGGCCAATAATATATCTGACGAACAACCTTGTTCGCAAGAGATCGAGCAGCTGTGTGATTTTCGCAGATCCCTTCGTGGATTTCCCTCATGATGTAGTCTGCTTCTTCACTGGTTACACATCGGAGGAGAGGGGCACTGAATCCTCTCCTGTACAGCTGGTCCCCGATGAGTGTGTAACGAGCAGATCTTGCTCGTAGGACCCTTGCCTCGACCTTGTCGCTTTGCAAGGTCCCGTCCTTGAGGTACTGGACAATGGGAATCATCCAGGAATCCTGTTGAGTCACATTTACGGCCTGTTCGGTTGAGCTGATAGTTGGAGCATCGACGAAACGAACAGGAATGTTATCTGGAGCCTCTGAATCCAACGATGAGGCTATCTTTGCTAGGGCGTCCGCTATAGAATTGCTCTCTTTGGGGATCTGAGTGATTTCAAAGTGCTTGAACGACCCGAGAGCGGTCTTAGCTTCTTTCAGGCAGCGGACCATGTTCTCTTCCTTGGCTTGGTATTCCCCTAAAATTTGGTTGATGACCAGCATAGAGTCGTTGTAAATGCTGATCGCGGTTGCACCCATTTCTTTGGCAAGTCGCAACCCGGCGAGCAAGGCTTCATACTCAGCCTCATTGTTGGTCGCCTTAAACCCGAACCGGAGAATACCATGAATTCGAGCCCCCTCGGGGCTTACAAGGAGAAGACCCGCACCGGCTCTTTTCCTGTTTGATGACCCGTCAACGTAGGGATTCCAGGTCGACAGGTTTTGAATACTTTCCTGCATGACTTTGCTAGGTTGTTGCTCGCTTGGGAGATAGGAAAATTCTGAGATGAAATCTGCAACGGCCTGCCCTTTAATGGTCGACCTGGGCTTGTACTTCAGGTCGAACTAGCTTAATTTTATGGCCCATTTGAGCAGTTTACCCGAGGCTTTTGGTTTCTGGAGGACCTGCCTTAGGGGATAATTAGTCATTACGTGGATCGTATGGGTGTAGAAGTAAGATCGCAGCTTTCTTGATGCGATCAGCAGAGCAAAGGCTAGTCGCTCCATTTCCAGATACCGCATTTCGGCATCCGACAGGCGCTTGCTCGCATAGTACATTGGCCATTGCGCCTTTTCCTCTTCCCGTACCAGAGCTGCACTGACCGCGAACTGAGATATGGACAGGTAGATGAGCAGGATTTCCTGTGGAAGAGGCTTAGAGAGGAGAGGTGGCTTCCCGATGTGTTCTTTTATACTCTGGAATGCCTGTTCGCATTCAGGAGTCCATTAGAATTTCTTATTGGCCTTCAAAACATTGAAAAATGGCAAGCAGCGGTCTATTAGCCTTGATATGAAGCGACTAAGTGTCACTATCCGCCCATTTAGACTCATGACCTGCTTCTTGCTGGTCGGGCTCTCCATATCGAGCAGAGCTTGGATCTTTTCGGGGCTTATTTCTATGCCCCGCTGATTAACCATATATCCCAGGAACTTTCCTGACGATACCCCGAACGAACACTTGAGAGGGTTCAGCTTCATTCTGTACAGTCGGAGGATGTCAAACATCTCAGTGAGATGTGCAATGTGTTCTGAGGCGGTCTGGGATTTGACCAGCATGTCGTCCACATAGACCTCCATTGTCCTTCCGATCTGGTCGGAGAACATTCGGTTAACCAACCTCTGATAGGTCGCGCCTACATTCTTGAGGCCGAAAGGCATAACTTTGTAACAGTACAGCCCCCGGTCCGTAATGAAGGACATATGCTCCTCATCTGGCCCATACATCGGGATTTGATTGTATCCCGAGTATGCATCCATGAAGCTTAACAGCTCGTGCCCCGAGGTGGCATCAATGAGCTGGTCGATTCTCGGCAGGGGGAAGCTGTCTTTCGGGCAGGCTTTGTTGAGGTCGCTGAAGTCAACGCAGGTCCGTCACTTGCCGTTTGGCTTCTTTATCAGGACCGGGTTGGCAACCCAGGTCGGGTAGAGAGCTTCTCAAATGGACCCATTTCTGAAAAGGTTTTCCACTTCTAATTTTAGTGCGGCGTACCGCTCTGGATCCATCGCCCTTCTTTTCTGGCGAACCGATTTGGCTTCACTGCTGACATTTAATGAGTGGCAAATAATGTCCGGGTTGATCCCAACCATATCTGCATGCGACCAGGCAAACACGTCAATGTTTTCCCTTAAGAAGCTTATCAGCTCGGAAGCGAGCTGAGGGCCGAGACAGCTTCCAATCTTCAACACCCGGCTCAGCTCTTTTGGATCAATTGAAATTTCGAACAGATCCTCAACCGGGCCACTGGGAGGGATTTTCTGGATTCACGGATCTATGTTATCCTCCGCTGGATCAGGCTGTGGTTCGATCCGGCTGATCGCCATAACCTGGCGAGGCACACATCGCATAATGCTCTTTCCCTTGCCTGCCATCGCACCGCTTTTACGAAGCATTCGCGAGATGCGCTCTACGATCCGCTCACTTCCCCTATCCCCGTTGGAGTGGGGAACTTCATCTTGAGGTGATATATAAAAGTGACTGCCTTGAAGCTTCTCAACAGAGGTCGCCCCAAGATTCCATTAAAGGCCGATGGGCAATCCACGACCAAAAATTCGGTAACCCTAGTCACCTCGTCGTAGTCGCCGAGCGTGATTGGTAGCTGGATCGTTCCTTTGGGGATCAGGTGATCCCCCGTAAAACGGTAAAGAGGCATCGAGGCTGGCTTCAGGTCGGCCTCGTCTAGGTTCATTCTATCGAAAGCGGCCTTGAACAGGATGTTCACAACGCTTTCGTTGTCCACAAGCATTCTGTAGACATTATGGCACCCTATCAAGGGCCTGATTACCAGGGCGTCCTCGTGGGGATGGTGCAAGCGAGCTGCTTCCTTCTCGCAGAAGGTGATCGGCTCCTCCTTTCGAGCCTTTTGCGGTCGCTGCGAAGTGTTCATTACCCTGATCAGGTCGTGATATGCTTCGTGAGCGTACCTTTCTTATGCACCTCGCGTGTTTCCCGCGAGGTGCGGACCTCCGAAGATTATGTTAACACTGTTGTACCCGCTGCGATTACGACGCTTTTTCTTCTGCTCCCCTTGGTTCTCTTTTGGAGAGTCATCAATATACTCTTTGAAGTGCCATTTCTTGATGAGCTCCTCGATTGCCTGCTTTAGAGCTCGGCATTCATCAGTGTGATGCCCGTTATCCCGATGGAAACGGTAGTATTTTTTGCTGTTTCTGGCCGTAGCAAATGTTTTCATGGGTTCCGGTTCACCGAGCAGGCTGGCCTCCTCGGATTTGTCAAGGATTGCAGATATGGACACGTTCAGCGGAGTGTATTGACTTCTGTCCCGGTCGCGACGAGGAACAGGAGCATAAGACTTCTTGTGCTCATAGCGGGGTTTCTTCCCTTTTCGCTGATCATCAATGTCTCCTTTGCGATCAGCTCTCCTATTTTCTCCCCGACCAGACATATTGCTCGAAGTGCCGTGATCGCGATGGTAGAGTGCCGCCAATGAATTCTCTATTCGGAGATACTTTTCTGCAAGGTTGTAAAATCTAGTGAGGGAAACATCGTCCTCAGCCTGCAGTTCTTTCCACAGGTCGGTTTGCAGGCGAACTCCAGCTATTATAAGTGTTCGGATGGACTCTTCTGGGGCATGAGCCACCTTGTTGAGTTCCCTGTGGAAACGGTCGATATAAGATTGCAGGGATTCGTCTCTTTCTTGTCTTATGTTGCTGAGGTAGCTCAAAGGCATCGAAAACTTTCGATTAGCTTGGAAATGCCGTAGGAATGTCGTGCTCATCTGAGGCCACGAACTGATCGATCCCGCTGGGAGCGACCTCAACCACCGCTTAGCGTGAGAAGTCAGCGTCACGGCCAAACAACGGCATTTTGCAAGATCCGAAACCTGGTGGAGCTCCATCAGGTCGTTGAACTCATATAAATGATCCTGCGGATCATGGTTCCCATCAAACGGCCGCATATCGGGCATTCTGAACCCCGGTGGGAGTGGAGCAGCTAGCACTTCGGGAGAGAAAGGGGATGCAGAAGTGACCTGGACCTGTTCGTTTTGCTGCTCGCTTAACCTGTCCAGAGCTCGCTGTAGCTCCTCAATTTGTGGTAACGGAGCCAATTGGGGATTGCTCTCACCCATGCGAGTCCGGCCTTCGCGATTACGGTTCAGGAAAGTCCAGAGGTCAGACTCCTCTTCGCCTCGGCCGGTATTTTCTGCAGCACTCGACACACGCTGACTAGAGGCGTGTGAAGGCGAAGGATTGTGCGGGGCGTTTTCACGACCCTCGCGGTGGTACGAACTGCCCCGCGAGGTGTGGGGACCACCCGCATGATAGCGATTAGGATCGTTCTGCTGGTGGTGACAGGAATCATCGCGCCCGGCACCTTTGCTTGGGTTCACCTGCGACGTGGCATGGGACAGCTCGGGATTCACTTTTTCGTCGAGTCTCAGCTTTGTCGGCACCCTGCTCGGGGCGCGGTTTGTGTTCACTGGTCCTTGGAAGCCCGTAGGCTTACTTTTTGCCACTTGCTTACCCTTACGCCTACGCGCTGCAGTGCTCGCGGCACGGGTTATTTCCCTTTGCCTCGCTTTCGCGCGACCTGCAGGCGTTTTTGGCGGTTGCACCGCCCCAGCTGTTGTAGATGACATTCCTTGGTCCAAACGGTCCAGCCTCTGGTTGACCGTCTGGAGAGTATTATCGAACCTCTCCAGGTAGCTTCTGATGGCGGGGTCAAGCTGCGAAGCTACCGAGATATCCCCCGCAACATTTTGTGAAACTGGAATTATCCTGGAAGGGGTATCCCCTTGGGTCAAAAGGACTCATTCAGTGCGCTGATTAGCTTGCTCAAGTTCAAATTGGCGGGCCGTTTGTTGCTGTAGGACCAGTAGGTTGAAGATTCTCCTGATGAAGGATGAATACTAAATCAGGCCCTCCTTCTAGCGCCAAACTGTTGATGCGTGATTCTTACACCAACTAATCGACACGTGTGTAACGTTGATTGGTCAAGAGACACACGTGATTATGGATAGAAAATGTGAAATGAATGCAATAAAAGCTTTTTAAAGTGGTTCGGATGCTAAGGTAGCAAGTCCTACGTCCACTGATTTGTATTAGTAATGTGGGTCAGGTCGCAACAGCGGACTAGCTTACAAATGATTAGGAAAAGTAAATACAAAGTTTGCAAGAGAGAGAGAGAGAGAGTTCAAGTGTAAAAATGGCCGAATCCCCTTAATGAAGGGATCTTCTCCCTTTTATAACCAGATGAGGGCGTGTGATCATCATTAAATCCATGAGTTGGTGTGAGTGTCAGGACATAATCCGGCTTTACGTCCCATTGCCCCCTTCCCAAGCTGATTTCACGCGATTTATTGCAGGGAAATGGACGCGTGGGAGCTCCATAGCGCTTGTCAGGCCTGACATGTACCTACCGTTCTGACGGGAGCAGGTCACACTGCACCACGTGACTTTCCACGTCAGCCCTTGTTTTCCCAAGCATAACATTGCTCAACCAACATATTTCAGTTACATATATGCTATCAATCATGTAAGTAATTGATATGAAGTGGCAAAGTGTAGCAGTTCAGGATGTTGATATTGCCAAAGTATGTTGAGAGAAGAGAAAAGAGGAAAAGATTTCTGTATAAATCTATATAGTGCTAATTTATACACTTTTTGTAATTGTAAAAATGGAAAACAATGAATACAATTAAATATAATTATTCAATCAATCACATAAATTATGGATTGATTGAATGAGATAATTGCTCCAGTATGAATCAAGGAATTTGTGCATTCCATATTTCGTCAAATCAAACAACAAAACTTGCAGACTTACTTGTACAAAAGGTTGGAGATCGTCGCTATGGGCGATTCCTATCAAAAAAGAAAAAAATAGAAAAAGAAATGTAACAATAAAGGCTAATAAGAGGATCATAAACAGTAAAGGTGATTACCCATGTTAAATACCCAGATTGGCAATGTACCAAGGTCTTCAGTTAGCTGAATAAAAGATTATTTTATTAGCTATATATCATAAAGAACATATAATGAACGTAAGAAGTAAATTAGTAAAATTAACTCAAGGAGGATGACCTACTTGAAGAAACTCAAAATAACCCATTCCATCATCAGTCTAATACTTCCATACATCACCATAATGCCCAGGCCTCTCCGCCCATGGTCCAACTGTTTCTTTCCACCGTAACGCATTTTTCATATAATCACCTTCAACAAAACACCCACCTGGAAATCTCATGAATCGTGGTTTCATATCTGCAAGCATTCTAGCAAGATCTTTTCTAAATCCATGTCCCTGTGTCTGTGGGCATGGATCGATCCATATGACCCCCTTTTGCGAAGTTGTCAATTGAAGTCTTGCTTTTGGATCTGTTTCTTTGGCTTCCAGAGAAGTCCCCATCTTGTCCAATTTGAAACGTCTGAAGCTACAGCACTGCAAGGAAAAGAAATTAAACTCTAAAACGCATGAATAAACAAAAATCTAAAGCATAGAAAATTATGGAAAATTATAATGCTTACATAATGTTAGTCGTGGCCAACGTTTGCGACCCATTTGAGCTTTTGTATGTTCTAAACGAAACAATAGAAAATAATAGTAAGATTGATTGAAAATAACATTAATCACACATAATAGGTAGATTTCTTACCATTCCCCAAAATCCTGGGTTATAAACACCAACTCCTCCTTCTGGACACGTATTATTGCCTTGACTATCACAAAGCACCTCCAATTTTAGTGCAATCTTATTTTTCTCGAAGCATGATGAATTATTAGTTGAAACTTGAAGAGATGATTCATCCCCAATAAGACCCCAAGGGGTAATATTTATGGATGTGTCTTGGCTTTCAGCTTGAAAACCTGAAATAAATTAAACCTCATCAAATCAAATAAAAACAGTTGTAATATATAATGAATAATGGCTAATATATTGAAAAATTAAATTAAATTAAATTTAAGAATAAGAAATTACCTCTATTGCTCACAAGCTCTGCCCACAATCCAACAGTACCAGCATGATTGATCTCCTAAAGAGAAAAAGGAAAAAAGAAAAAGACAATAATAACCAGCATCTACAGATAATTCTGCAGGTGTCTGATTTGCACCAGCGGCATCAACTCTAAACTGTCTGGCGGAGACACAACAAGCTCCAAGGAAAAAATAAAGCAGGAGAACACTGCGAGCCATTTTGCTAGAAGCCATAACCTGATTAATATGATAAGAGTACTAAGAAACCTCTTATCTATGGACTGGATAAACTACCGCTTTAGCTGGGTAAGTGTAACAAAATTAGAAAAGGGATCGCATGAGAAGTTTTTAAAACTGTTCATTTATGTAGTTATTATAATGATAGATAATTACAATTAATTGTGTCAGATATGTATGGTTAAATTACTATATTTTAATTGATGACATGCTATTATTTTGAATCAGATTACATTCCTTTCTATACACTAGGACGACAATTCATCTTAATTCTGAAGAAATCTACTGTTACTGCATGGGAAATGGGGAAAGTATATTGTTACTGCATGAGAAATATAAAATAGAATCTAACACTGTTAACGTTCTCCAGAGTCATGGAAGAAAATTTAGAATTTGACTATTATACTTAGATGCCATAAAAACCCATTCACCTGACAAAAAACCAATTTATCATCTGTAACTTTTAATGAGGCCAGTACCTTTTCTCAGAAAATTAGGTATATCAGTTATTGTTCAGCCAAAAAATAAATAAATATATTTATCTTTGAGGCTTCTGTGAAATTAATTGATTTCTTCTTGTACAACCTATATCTGGTTTAACCAATTATTGTGTTAGGATGTTTGACTTGGATCTATGAGAAATTCACCTTATTAGAACAGTTGTCATCTAAATAAATATTCTTCAAACGACTTAGTTGCAACCCAAGTCTCAATGCTACATGTGTCTTTAAGAATTTATTGGCTACATGAAGACACCATTGGCAAAACCAATTCAAGAAATCCCCATCTCATATTTGAGAAAGCAAAGAATCGCATTTGGTGGATTAAATCAATGCTTAAGAAAAAAAGAAACCTGGAAACAAATAGGAACAAGTATACATCCTTGCTTGAAACAATAGATTTTAAGCAGGAACTAAGAAAAGAAACAAGAGCATTTGTAGATAGATCTGGTGGCTTGAAACATAAGGCATGCAACAGATATTATTTACACTAACCGTAGGTATATAGAGTCATTGTGATTATTGCATACAAATACATTTATTCCTAATGTGTACATTTATTTCTTAAATAGAGGATCTTGAGAATGAATCAGTTTCTTCCATCTTGAGAGAGACTGATTCCTTTAACAAATCGAATGAAGTGAACGAATGTGGAGAGATAACAACATCCATGTCCTTGTCAGCGTTTTCAAGTAGTATGCGGTTCGGCACCACCTGCATAAACAGAGTTGAAACCAAAAAAAAATTAACACTGTTGACAGAAATAACTCAGCCTCTTGATAAATTTTATTCCTTAATAGTCTATTTGGTTTTGAAGAAGTCAATGCCACATTCAAAAATTATAGAAACGTACTAATACAAAACTAACCAGTACATAGAGAGATATATTGGCAATGCAAAACCAATTGTTGTGAGAAAATTAATCTAACTATTAGTGCAGACCAGAATGAAATCATTATATATGCGGTTTATATGAACCATAAGCAAGTATGATATTCTTTTATCCTCTGTGATATTAAGATATCAGTAAAACATCAGAGGAAGAACCTGGAATCTATTTAGTTGGACAGAACAATCTATTCTTATCAGTTGAATTTCTTCGGTTTTTCTGTTTCAGTAACATTTTCATTTTGCCTTTTCTAAAAGTAAGTGTCATGACCCTCATTGGCTACAAAACAAAACAATTTGTGCAATCAACACAACTGATCAGGATACGGCCATTTCTTCAAATCTTAGACTTAAGCCTTGTTAGTGAACTGTTCTAAATGTGCAAAGCACCCAAGTTCAGATAAAATCGAATTGATGTATGGATAAACAGATTCACATTAATTGATGCCAGCTCACCATCCACTCAAAACGGCTTATCATTTCCTTCATTAACCCTAAACCCGAAAGTACATAATAGATTAAAGGTAAAGGTAAAAATATAACCAGGACCAAATTTAGAAAGCAAATATATACCTTGTTCGGCTCCTTGAAAGAATTCTCATCCATCAAATTACTAGATGTGAGAACAGTCTTTGTTGATCCAGATAACTTAATGGAGTTTGGGTCTAACCCATCCACAGATATTTTGAGTTTTACAGAATTGTTCCCAAAGTTGACAACCTGCAAGTTATAATTTCCTGAAAATCAGAACTAATCCACAGGAATTAAATACAACTACATCCTCATTTTGGTGGAGGAATTTGGAGGTTGGGTAACTTAACAAAGATTAAGAAAAATACGGATTAACATCATTAAGAATCCTACACAGTTTGGTTAAAATGATGGAAATTGCCAACCAAGAAAAGAAAATGCAAATTCTTAAAACAAGCATGTTGAATGCAAGGTTTGATATCAAATGTGGTACTGATTGCTAATAACTTATCGGTATAACTTAATACAAGCAGTTTGTTACTGTTAAATAGAAGATACTACATGCACATGCAGAAGCCTCTAAAGAGTTCTGTAAACATTTTCGCAAAGAATATGACTAGATATGAAAAGGACACATATAGTGGATTTAATATAAATCATAAACTGAAGATTGTTAAACAGAACATAAATTGTAATAGAAAAGACCTTTATTGTCAAGTAATTTTTCTCATCCTCCGAGTTTTGCCAAGCAATTGCAGATGCAATAATTGAACTAGAGGAATTTGTTTGGAGAGTTGCATTTAGAAGAGTTGCACCACTTGACTCTCTAAAAAATTGTTGCACCCAATAGCTAGGAGTTCCATAGACATGAGAGGAGTTAAAGACAATCGCATCTGGATTCCACCTACGAAAGGGTTTTGCATTGTCAGAGTAACCCACAGAAGAAAAAGATAATTTTGTTATTTCTTACTCATAATTTAGAGATGAAAAAACGAATGTAGAAGTACCGCCTGTCATTGGAATTCACAAAAAGTGGTGCATAGCTTGCCATTGAAACAACATCACTGTAACAAAAGAAAGCAGTCATCAAAATATTGTCATCATTTTAATGAGCTTTCTGCAAAAGAGCTCCTCTTGGAAACGATGATAAGTTGTCAAACTTGTGAGGTAGATGTATGTTTCTAAAACAATCGTTCATGCAAAACAATTCCCAAAAGTAGGGGCCAAAAAGAGTCACACTAAGAGTTTTATGATTATTAGCACACCTGTTCTTTTCTAGACCAAGAAGGAACCCAGCTTCGGCAAGTGCTGCCAAAAGGCTTCCCGTGCCAGCATCTTTTCCAGTCACAGCATATTCACTAACAAAAGCCTACATAACATTGAATCACAATAAGATTCTCATGTATTAACCAAATCCAAATTCATTGGTCACAGAGAGGCAAACACCTTTGGACCATCGCGTGATGTATGGTCAAATTGATGAGCCATAGAGAACAAGCTACTGGCAGATGTATAAACCTAGTTAAGAATCAGAGAAAAAGGATAAGGTTAGTTCCATGTTATTGAATAAACCCAGACATCTATGTCATAATCCGAAAAAAAAAAAAAATTGTGAAATTAAAAGCAAAATCATTTGTTATATAAACATTGCATCAAGGATTTTACATGAAAATCATAGAATTCAGCAGGATGGTCCAACTGATGAGAAGATCCATCACAATTTGAAATCATTCCTATGTCTGGATAAGCAAGTTTTATAGCTTCATAAAACTTGAGGTAGTTTCCTGGCCAAAAACAAAACATAAAAACAATTAAAAACATAAAAACAATTAAAAACATAAAGATCATAAACAGTTTATTGAATCATATGAGAATGCATCACAGGCAAATAATTATAGAAATTGACAAAAGATCATTTAATGAACATAAAACATGATAATGGAAAGTAATCATTCAACTCAAAAGCTTTAGGTTACAGGTTAGTGGCCAACCATTGAATTAACAACCCTTGTTTGTATTGAAATTATTACCAACTTTCGTTCACATTAGGTATCTATAATTATTCAATCCATAAATACATTTTTCCTAATGTGATAATAGTATAGTTCAACCACCCATTATGATGACACACTTTTCAATGATTGATCAACTTGAAATTCAATGATTGTGAAGAGTAGAAATAAATAATAGAAAACAAAACAAATTAACTAGAAAAATATGCAAACCTCTATAGTTCTTTTTCCCACAATCTTCATTCCCAATAGCAACATATCTCAAGTCAAAAGGTTTAGGGTGTCCCATTGCTGCCCTTACAGATCCCCATGTAGAGTTTGGGTCACCTCTTGCAAACTCAATACCATCAAGGGCTTCCTGCAACCGAAACAAATAGTATAAAAAATGTCTTTTTAACCTAAAAATTTACAAGAATGATTGTAACAGAAAAAAGAGAGACTGAGAGAGAGAAAATAATTTATACCATATGAAAGGTGCTACTGAAATCAATTGCACATATTACGTTATAATTAATAAGTAATTATCTGAAATGGTTATTGCACTCAAAAAAAGAAAAGGGACTACTTTGTATGTCATATCATTTCTCCTCAACAAACTGGGATAGAAGGAGATTTAAAATTCCTAACATCAAACTAGAAACATTACTGGCACATCTCTACTCATGCATGTCCATTATCTGAATTAAATTGTAAAGAGCACATTCAAGTGAAATTTAGTCACACTCAAATCCTCAACCATGCATTAAAACCTAAAAATGAAGCAAGTCAAGATCAGTACTTTAAAAGATCCAAATATTACTTTATTTTCGTCATATTTTTTAACTGCATTATTTTTTTAAGAAAAAAAAGAAGCACCAATGGATGTAGTTTTTTGAGATTAATGTCATATTATGAGCACAAGATAAACCCTACGGGAAAAGAATATGAATGTTGTAATCCACCAACATGCCTTACTCTACCGTACACCAACCCACAGCTTGAAGAAACATTAAAGTCCATTCTCCATCAGAAATGAACAAGAACCCTTATGCAATGCAATTTGAGTTCATTGGTTGATTGCTAATGTCAAGTCACAAACACAACAGTTTATACTTATTTGTTATCTTATACTCACAAAACAGATGAGGTTATGTGGTATCAGATCAGCTTCTTTTGCATTTGTAGTAATTCAAATAAAAATATAGTTGTCATGCAACAATCAAGCAATTGCACACAAACCTGAACAAATGGTAGGACACTAGAAGTATCAACTTGATCTTGATGACTGATTCCTGTAAAAATTACAAAACACAAGAGAAAAGAAAATAAATCAATCAGTCTAATGGGAGGAAAAAAATAAGGTAGTTGGGAATTCAAGCATATGTATCATTACCATTGTTAAACACCCAAATCGGCAATGCACCAATGTCTTCAGATAACTACATGAACAAGTAATTTTATTATATTTTCTAGTTAAGCAACATGAAACTCTTTCGAGTTATAAGAGGTCAATAAAAACTTCATCTACAAAAAAAAGGACATAACACCTACTTGAAGAAACTCATAATAACCAATTCCATCATCTGTCCAATACATCCAAACATCACCAAAGTGTCCAGGCCTCTCCTCCCAGGGTCCGATACTCTCTTTCCAACGAAATGCATTTCTTAACCATTCACCTTCAACAAAACATCCACCTGTTGCAACATAATTGGAAAATACAGCATTATTAAAATTTCAACTTTTATGCTGAATTTCTGTGAATTTAACAAAAATAACTACAACACCTGAAAACACACATGAAATAATCCCAACTGAGCTGAGAACTATATACACAAATAAATTCTTAAATACCTGGAAATCTGAGGAATCGAGGTTTAATATCAACAAGCATTTGAACAAGCTCATTCCGAAAACCATGTCCCTGCACCAGGATAAAGATGCTGAAACTTATATACATGCAGAATGTAATTATTAAGTCATAGTAAGAAAAACTTTGAACACAGTACAAATAAAAGCAAATCTCTAAACATGTAGTGCTGCATTTGATTGTTTTCATATATTATTCAACTTCAAAAGAGACTAAAGGCGAATTAAAAGTTAGTTTGAAACCAATTTTATGCTTAATAATAACATTAAGGAACTCCAAGAAGAATTCACAACAGCATGTAGAACACAAGAACCATACAAGGACAGCATCAAGAAAAAGAACAGTTAAAAACCACAATTTGAAATCCAAAAACTGCACAAGCAACCAGGAAAAAGTAAATATAGTGGAAACAGTGAGCCAAAAAAGTAAAAGAAAATTCATTAACATCTCCATCTTGAGAAATTAATAGAATGTTCTCTGCAATCCCTCTCCTCCACAAATGCTGCGACAAAAATAAAGGAATCAAACACAAAAAAAATAGCTATCTAATTATTCCCAGATAATCCATTCCAACTAGCCAATAGTTCAATAACCACCATACCACAGTGAATTAAGGAAAACATCTACCAAAACCTCTTGTGTATGCTTGTGTTCAAATATTTTGTTGCTAACTTCCCTAGGTAATTAGCATTCATAAACATCAATTTCAAATCAACATAAGTTAGATAAGTTCTAGGCCATATGTCACATAACAAGACCAATTGTGGCCATCAGGTATAAAAGCCAATGGTTAATATAATATGGGAATGGTACTAAAAAAGGGAATAGCTAGGTTGAAAAATACATAATCCCCTCATAGAATCAAATGCGCAATCTGGATATATCAACCAAAATAAAAAGCCCCTATTATAAACTCTTCAGCAAATAGAGTTTAACATCTTTACAACATGAAGGGATTTGTACCCTAACTAGTTTATGAAGAAACTTTAAAGCCACTCCTGGTAAAGAGAACTCAAATGAAAGCAAAAAGCTCGTGACACATTGGAGCACAATAGCAGCAAAAGTTAAAAGGCAACAAGACAAGTTATACCTATCTATACCAAAGAAATGTTTTCTAGCATAAGTCTTTTCATTTAATGAGGCAAATGAGTCATTGGAAACAGAAAAGTAAAATTAGTACCTTGTGGGTGTCCAAAGGCATAGCTGATACTTGATCAATCCATATCACCCCTTTTTTGGTAGTTGTCAATTGCAGCCTTGCGTTATGATTTGTTTCTTTGGCTTCCAACGAACTTTCCACTTTTGTCCAGTTTGAAACATCAGAAGCAGAAGCTCTGCAAAGGAAAAAATATAAAATCTAAAGCTTGCATGGACAAGAGTCTATAGGAAAAAGAAAACCATTGTACTTACATGATTCTGGCATTAGCCAGCGTTTGCAACCCATCTAAGCTCGTCAGTGACAAAGATAGATTAACGGATCCCAAAGAACGGATATAAAAAACTATTTTGTAGGTCTTGCCTTGTTTGATATCCTGAAGGAAACAAAAAGAAAAAGAAGATAGAAGAAATCAGACCGAAGATTTATAAAATTACTTAGCAGAAATTAAGAGGAGAGGTTAGGAGTACTGTTTCCTAAACAACTAGAACTCAACTGACATAAAATAATGTTGACACTAGAATGTACAAAGAAAATGATTTTATTCCAACCATATGAAATATACAAAACATGAGAATACGAAAATAATATTTTTATACAATAGATGTCAATTCATTCTCACCATGCCCCAGAATCCTGGATTATAAACACCAACTCCTCCAGTTGGACAAACTTTACTACCTTGGCTATCACAAAGCACCTCCATTCGAAGTGCAATCTTGTTTCGCTCAAAGCATGAAGAGCGGTCCGTTGAAACAATTAGAGATGACTCATCCCCAATAATAGACCATGGATCAATATTTGAGGGAATATTTTGGCCCCCAGCTTCAAAACCTGAAATAAAAGCTTCAAGAGAATCCTCATACACAATATTTGAAAACAGTTTTGATATAATAAAAGGCTTAATAAGCATTATTTATATTATAACTCCAATAGACAATGGCTTCCTTATCGCTACTACAAAATTGATATACTTTCTTAAATCCCTTTTTCAATGAAATTTCCCAGCCTTTAATAATTTTAAAAATCACCAAGAAGATTAGACACAATTTTCTAATGAAATTCAAATAATGTTTATGGTATGCAAACAAGAGAAACTACAAACAGTGCAAAGATAATGTTGGTAAGCATCAAATCTGAGAATTTGATTAGTGTTCAACCAAATTGTTGACTGCTTTCAAAAACCCCAAATCACCATAAAAACCAAAAAGTAATGGGGTGGTTGCACAAATATAACCTCCAAACGTTTAACCAAGGTAATAATGGGTAAAACAAGGAACTGCTTGCATATAAGTGACACTAGGAATAAAACATCCATCAATCAACAATCAATTTCTACTGACACTCTGTTAAAAACCAAAATATGTTCACAATTCTTTGTGTAAATCTAAGGATATCAAGGTGTAATGATTAGCATGGAGAATTCTTTATAGACAAAAAACATATTCAAAATATAGATAGCACTAGAGCAGACCTGTAAACTATCTTTTTGGTTTACAATGATGAATCTCAAAGTTGCTTTATATCTCAAGTTATGAAATTTAAACTTAAAACATCAGAATGTACTAAGCAACCCTCCTCTTTTTCTTATGCACGAAAAATCGTCAATTAACCACATAACTTAAGCAGCCAAGCATTCAAACTATTACAGAAAAGTTATTCTTTTTTATCAATTTTCAGAAATAGAAAAAGATTGGAAAATGACCTCTGTTGCTCACAAGCTCTGCCCACAGCCCACCAGCACCTGCATGGTTGATCTCCTGAAGAAAGACAAAAATCAGAACAATGCTAACTCTAAGAACAACATCCCATCAACCATTGGAAAAGAATTCTAAATAAACTTTAGTTCAAAAATTAGTTCCTATCAAACTGACAATATTTTTAGCAGCATAATAAGGTAAAACCAAGAGGCATAGAGTTCATGTAAGCAATAAAGATATTATATGTTCAAAGCAGGCCACTGCAATTCCTCACTGAGTATATAATTTCGTGCCCACATGCTTATAAATACAGGCATACACATTAATGTGTAGCGTATGTGTGTCTTCTCACATAAAAAGATAAAAGATATAGCATTAAACCAAAATCAAGATGCACAAAAGTAAATATAAAAATAGGAAACAAGTTATAAATTCTAAGAGCAACTAAAAAACCAACTTTAAGTAAAAGTAATTTTTCCAGCAGGAAAAGCAATAACTAACCTCAAAGAATATTCCAAATAGTGTATCAGGTATTGGCCGCGTTTGCGAAGCATTTACAAACAGTCTTGCTGTCTGGTTTGCATCAACTCCAATTGCAAAACACTGGGACAGCAAACAAGTTCCAAGGAAGAAGCAGAGCAAAATAACACAATAAGGGACTTTGGTAGCAGCCATTACTCACCACATTCAATTGCAATGTTTTCACAACAGCCTAATAAAGCATGATAAAAATACAAATTCAGTTATCGTAATGACAAAACAGCTAATGCAGTTATATTTATCAATTACAAAGACAACCCCACAACCGAAAACAAAAGGAGAAAAAAAAATAATAATAATGTGATCAATCGCATAAAAAGCAGCATGCTCTGTTTATACTCACACAAACTGTTATAACCAAACAGAGAAAATATAAGACTGATGTCATCATCATAAAATTTGAAGTCAATAAGTCAAGTGTATTAAAAAAAAACATGAAAAATCAATCATTAATCACAATTAGAGTGTTTGATAGATAGTTAGAGAGCAACAAAAGAATCAATAAAACAAACCCAGATGAAAAACAACTATCAAAGTAGAAACAACCGAATAGAAAACGGTAAAACTAACAGAAATGGAACAAACCCAGAAGGAATAAACATGAAAGCAATGATTTTTGAATAAAAGTAAGAAATAATTATGAAGTATGAAGACAAAAGGTGAACCTAAATGATTGAAGTGTTGGTTTGCGGTGGTGTTGACTGGTGGGTAATTGACGAAGGAGGTTTTGAAGTTGGAGTTGGAGTGGATATAAGACAGATTAAACATTTATATATATAAGACCTCGTTTTGGATTGTTGCCTTGCTTGGAAGTAAACAGAAAACAATAATCTACTCCGACTTTGGCAGTGGATTACAAGGAACTTGTGACACTTGTGGACCCTTCGCTTACCATTCTTATCTACGTCAATACCACAACTATAAGCTCAGCTTTAGTTTACTGTTTTTACCACACATTTTCATATAAATTTCAAGATACAAAATTTTTGAAAATTATTCTGAAATATGTTTTTTCCGTTTTTCATGGTGATTATTCTTATCAACAGTGTAAGCAACTATTTTTGTTTTTCTTTTCAAAAGTATTTTCTAACAATTTTTTATATTTTAAATTCTTAAAAATAATATTTATTTTTTTATTTATCTTAATTCCAAATTATGAAATCGTATCATAATATAAATTAGTGAGCCACCGCTAGTTTTAGAAATATGACCTAGCCCCTGTTGGTTTCGAAAATGCGACCCTAGCCCCCGTGTGTTTAGCCTTATTTTTGCTATTTTCGGAAATGCCATCAATTCAACTTTCAAATTCATTAACAATTTTATTAATTTAACCTCTTAATATTGTTAACAAATTTTGGTAAAAATGTTATTTTTTTTCAAACTTAAATAGAATAATCTAGTGATCTGTTAAAACAGAGAGTTATGATTACATTTCTAAAACAAACCACAAAAAAAGGTCAAATACACAAGGTTTAAGGTCGAATTTCCAAAATTAATGGGAGTTTACTAGCAAAAAAACAAACATATGGGGGTTGAGTATCTAAACCTGATCTGTAGTTGTGGACGTAAAGATAAAAAATTGTTTCCAATAAACAAGGCTTTACAGGGTGAGTTCCTTTTTTGAATTAAAATATGGAAAAACAATTTGATAATTTACTTAAGAAAATAAAAAAAATTATATTTCAATTAAATGTAGGAGATATCAAAGATTCAAAGGTGATGATTGATCATAAGGACAAAGCAATAGGAAATTCTATATAAAGTTAATTTTATAATGGGCTCAAATAGAAATAGTTTTTGGTGAAGTGGTGCAACAATCTTTAGCTGAAAAGGATGGGGAAACGACTTACACCTACCCAAGGTTTGGCGAAACAATATTGGTACCTAAAAGGTTTCAAAACGATAAATAGGTACCTTCTATTAGTGAAAAGACTAGAATGCCCTTTGAGAAATATTAGTCTATTTTTTAATTACTTTTAAACCCCTTAAGTTTATTAATTCCATCAAATACCCCCACAAAAAAGTTTAAAAATTAACAAAAACACCCCCACCCACCCATATTTGCCAGATTTCGACGGCCACCAGCGGTGGTAGTCGGAATCTGTCACAACGGTCTACGCCACCACTAGAAATGGCCGGTAATTCACTGATCTGGCCTTTTCCGGCCAGATCTGGTGGTCAACGGTCGCAACACTCCATCTTTGGCCGTCAGCAACGACGGCCATTTCTTTGGCCGTCAGGTTCCGACCAGATCTGGCCTTTTCACGTTAAATCTGGCCTCTTCCAGCCATATCCATGGTGGATCTGGCCGGAAAAGACCAGATCTGTGAATTACCAGCCATTTACAGTAGTGGCGTAGACCGTGGTGACAGATTCCTGCTACCACCGGTGGTGGCCACCAGAATCTGGCAAGTATGGGTGGGTGAGGGTGTTTTTATTAATTTTTAAATTTTTTTCTGGGGCTATTTGATGGAATCAATAAACTTAAGGGGACTAAGAGTAATAAAAAAAATAAACTAATATTTCTCAAAGGGCATTCTAGTCTTTTCACTAACGAAAGGTACATGTTTGTCGTTTTGAAACCTTTTAGGTACCAATCGTCGATTTGCCAAACCTTGGGTAGGTATAAGTCGTTCGACCGAAAAGAATTAGGGTTTCTTATGTCATCGCAAGGGCAATAATCATTATGTATTGGAAAGTGATATTTTCTTTTCCGGAAGTTTAAAGCAACAATATTTCCAACTCTATTTGATTTTATTGGATAAACGTACAAATGCATGAATGAACATATTCTTTACGTGTTACTAAATTTTCCCAACCAATTTAGCATAACAATACAGCAAAACAAAAAAAGTAATGGAGTTGAGTGCAAGCATGGCTATATATCATTATCACCTTCTTAAAGATTGTCCAAAAACAAGCGGTATTTGTATACAATTTGTGGACCAATAATACCAAAATAACGTGGATTCCTCTTTTGTGTTGCATCGCCTCCACTCCAAGGCATAGAAAAGCAGAAAATGAAGAGGTTTCTTTTCTTTATTTACGTATAATATATTTGTACGATTCATTCACTTGCAAGTTATAAATATAGCTAAAATTGCAAGCTTTTAGATTTTGTGCTGCAATTCCTGAATTGTTATGTTTCCATTGAATAACAAAAGATAATTAAGGTTTAATGATCCCTAAAATCATTCAATTATTGTCATAAAATAATGGTAGCTTATATTATATATTAAAGTCGATAAAATATTATGTATTTCTGCATAATTCATTATAAGAAAAAATTTATTGTGTCAGAGGTGGAGAATAGGGACATAGCCTGAAAATCATATTAGGGGGACCGTAACAAAAGTTTAAATTTTTGAAGTAAAACCAAGTGATTTGATTAAATTTTTTTAACGTTTCAATCAACAAAAATGGCGCTCTTAATAGGTTTAGAAAATGAGAAGGGAGAAGAGTTTGAGTTGATAAGAAAATAGAAAAGAAATTAATGTGATGTTTCGGGCATTGTATATATAATTTATGAGGATGTCGTTGTTAATCTTGTAATTGAGTCCTATGTGTGGATTGGTAGATTTTCAATGATTTGGTGAATAGTAATAGGGGTGGTGGGTTCGAGTACATATCCAAATCCATTGAACCAAACTGGAACTAGAATCGGAACCTCTGATCGTTTTTCGGTTCCTAAATTACTGTAACCGAACATGTAACCCCCCACTTGAGTACGTATTTAAGATTTGATGAATGTGGTCGAATGTTATCGATTTATCCTTAGTTGAGTCTCCATATGTTAATATTGTTTGGTTTATCCTTGGATGAAAAGGTGTCTTGGTTTGGTTGAGTGTTTTTCTTGAAGGTTTGTATGACTTGGCGAAATTTTAGGGTTACAGTCTTTGCCGGGGCGAAGAAGATTTGTCGCCGCGCGATGAGGGAGTGCTTCAACCCGGGTGGCCTCTGTGATTTTTCGCCGAGGCGAAGAAATAGCTTCGCCGCGGCGAGACCCGGCTAAATGTCCCCCTTGAGTTTTTGAGATTTCTTTCTTTTGAGACTCAATGACCATTCTACCCTTTTTTAGCGGGAAAGTGGGGAGTGAATTGTGAAATTCATGGAGAATAGTTGATTGGGGTTGTGTTTGCAAAGAATGAAAGGTCTTAAATGGAATTTCAAGAGAGATGAAGCGTATTTTGAGAAAGAGTGAGAAATATGTGATATAAGGGTTGCTTTAGAAACCCTTTCATTTTGTTTTCTCACCACCGCTCTTTCATCCCTTATTTATCTCAATTTTCATCCCAAGATTCCAGGATCTTTGAAGAGCTTTTGACTAGAATTGTTACAAATTGATCCTAAGCACTAAAAGGTGAGAATCCTTACTCTAGAAGCAAATTTTTATTTGTTGAAAGAGTGGGATCCTTATTAAGTTTTTGTATTGAAGGTTAAAGAAAGTGTCAAGCCATCAAGAGTGAGAGTTTAAGTGGTTCTACTTGTGTCCAAGGTAAGTAAATTCACCAAGTTGTGATTTACTTGATGAATGATGTATAGGAGTTTAGATCTATGCTTGATGCTTGATTTCTATGTTTAAAATGGTTGATATTTAAGGTTGTTATAAGAAAGATTTCCACCATGAGAGTGTTGTGTTGTTAAAGTTGGGAAGAAGTGAATAGAATTAGAAGGATTTGAGAAGATTATTTGAAGTACTTTTCCTTGCAGGTTGTATGATGTTTTAAAGGAGTTGAACTCCTGCTTGGGAGATTAAGAAAGAAGTATAATTGAGTTAGAATAGAGTTTAGTTATGCACACTGTGTTGTTTGATGAATGTCTAAAAGAAGCATGAGTAGAAGTAGAGAACCTTACTTATGCAACATACATAATTGCATGTCCTGAATGCATATAAGGAGATTTTAGGCATGAGTCATCCATATGCATATGTTTAATTGAGTAATCACATGAAAAAGAAATATGAGAAATGAGAAAGAAACACTCTAGGAATAGAGATAAAGAAAAAGATAAATTCTCTTAAGTAAGAGAAAGAAAAGAACTAGCACTAGAAGATAAAATGATTCTTAAGTGCATAGAAAAGAAAAGAAACTAGGTTTCGATGGGGACTCGTGAGTATAGAGTTACCCTCATGTAAACCGTTAGGAGAAAGAACGATCTCCGCCATGAAGAGCGAAATGCATGTAAATCCTATGAGAAGGAGCGATCTCGCCATGAGAGCGGAATGCATGTGATCCGTTATGAGAAAGACGACTCCGCCTGAAGAGCGGAATACATGTAAACCACTATAAGAGAGAGAGAGAGCGGTTCCCGCCATGAGAAAGCGGAATGAGATTGAGGAAAAAAAAATAAAAAAAATGAGAATTTGAATTAGAAATTTGATAAGAATACAAAGAGAATTGTGAGTAATGCACGGGGATGATAGCGTAGAGACTGTTTTACTTACTGGCATCTTTGTGCTCACTCCGTTGTTTTCTTTGTGTACAGAAATAGGTAGGACTTGGTCGGATGGACGTCGGCAAGCGGGGAGACTTGGCTACACTGTCCCTTGTTTCGTTTTGTTTTGAAAGTCCTTGTACATATGGTTTTTGTTTTGTAGAAGGTTATTATTAGTAAAGAAAATTTTTGGGCCCAACCTGTTTTTGATAAATATGCTATCTTTTTATTAATCGATATTACGAATTGGTAGAAGAAAGTAGTTGTTACTTTTGGTTACGACTTTGGTAGAAAGAAAGTAGTTGTTACAGAACATGAGTTTCAGTTCCAGTTCCCCATACCCAATAAAATTTTCATACACCCCTATTAGTTACAAAAATAACAAATAAACCCTATAAAATTACAAATACACC